GCGATCATACTACACCAGCACAGTGAATCAAAACCAGAAGCGATATGTGCATATATGTCTGTGCCGCGTAACCGTTACGCGTATCAAAGGAGTGTGCTCGTGAGTGCTTCTGGTTCGTTTCAATTTCGGTGTTATCGGCACATTAAAATAATATTTTAGACTGTGACCGCGTAAATTGACTGCAAAATTGCGACTGTACACTAGCGACATCCGTGTAAAAAATGTGTTGGTATGATCTGTTGAAACTTGAAAGGCTTACAATTAAGTAAATCTCCGGAAATGTTCAACTGCAACAGAACTTTTAGCGAGTTTTTTTGTGTACTTACATTCACACATTTTGTGAATACCATTCGAGCATCGGAATTTTATGCACGCACACTACGTAGTTCTTTGTGGAGAAGACACATCACATGTGTTTTTGAGAGTCTAATTTTCCATCCTATTTTACCTTATAACGTAAGGGCACGCTTCACGCTTTGAACTGCGTCGCAAAAGTTAGAGTTGAGTTTTATTCCTTGTGAACGATCTTTTTTATGTTATGTTTATAGGCCGGTTCAGTATTTTCGTGCAACTATGCAATAATTACTTTCTATTTAGTTTACTTAAATATTTTGTGATAAAGTTCAAGTAATACATGTTCAAGTAATAAGTTTAAATCCACGTTTACGATAAAGATGACTATATATAAATTTACCCACAAACTGACAATAAACATCCAAAATGGCATTTTCTTTGAAAACATAAAGAAAATACCATGTCTTTTGCTCAACTTAGTATTAGTTCATCTTAATATAATTTTCTGCTGTTAACTCGTTTTTTGTATCAATTTCCGTAAGATTCACCCCTTCCTGGTTGTGGTAAATTTCACGACGACGACGATAATAGATAATGATCGCCGTGAGAATTCCAGCAACGATTCCGGGAACCAATCTTGCCCCAACAATGATATACGTACCACTCAATTGAATTTGTAGATTTGACGATGTCGCCGCATTTCGTTGAAATTGAAATTCCATGAAAGTAAATTTTGTTTAAGAACACGAAGTAAAGAAGTAAAGTACCGAAATATGTTGTAAGTTAGGTAAGTTTGTAAGTAAAGTTTGTTATTTCTACGAAATTGGCGGAATTGTACCAACTATGCTCTAGAAATGAAGATCGAGTAATCAACTGTCTCAGCAAAAAGCTGTAAAATTATTTTTCCTAAATAGCGTCGAAAGAGACGTTTTTCGATAATTGTCGGTGATTAGTGCGATTTGCTAATCAGAACGCAGCATTGGCAATATTACTGAATTCTTACTAATTACCTAGGTAACTTTATTCGGATTTTTTTTCGGTTTTCAACGTTTTCAGGCTATGAAAACAAGCTAACTCTAAGAGAGTGGAATCATACACAACTACTTTCAAGCCAGGAGCAGTTGAGAAAAATTAGTCAATTATCGGTCTTCCGGCAGGAATCGAATTTACCTACATCGAGTGAAGTGCCACAAAATCGTATTTGATTTACCATCACCGTGTCTTTGAACACCTTTTCACTACAGCCGTATACCGTAGTAAATATTTTTCACACAACCAAAATCCGGTTGTATAGTACTTGTATAATATGAGAATGAGGCATTCGGCTAAAGTACAAAAATGAAATATAAGGCGTAAGACTAAGAGAATACAATTTCTCATCTATGCATGTTTGGAAACTCTGTTTGGGCTATGTTTGGAAATTGTTATGTGCATCTTCTGAGGGGTGTGGATTATAATATCATGATGGCTTCTACCAACAGTGTCTGTTACAGTGGATTTGCGTAACCCTGCAGTAGTGTTTTGCGAGGTTTTGGGAGTACTATCGTTCAATGTTATAAAGTGACTGTCCCCAAGACGTTCTGTGGAAGTCATTTCACCAGACCAGGCATATAACTGTGAAAATACCTAAACCTAATATCAACAATACGAAGTTAAAAGATAGTGAGAATTTAACTTAATAATTCGGGACTTGAGTTTGCCCCCTTATCGGCATACTCCCAAATTTTGGTCTGGATCTCTCAGTCTATCTAATATATAAAGATCAGTGATATAACAACAAAAATAACTTTTGCATTCGACGAATGAAAATGGCCACTTTTTTGGGTATACAGATCCTTTATGGAGAAAAGTGTCATACCTTTGTTTTTTATGTCCTTAGTTGGTTTGTGCATGGGCTCGTTCCTGTACCTTGATTCTGTTAATTTATGCTTATTCAAAATACCCACGAAATGTGAGTATTTCGAACGGTCGATTACAAGGCCTTTCCTCTTCTCTCCTCCCAGCCCCAACGCCCCTACAAAGTCACAGAAGGCCCTGGGAACGAGTATCTATTATAATTTAGGTATACTTACCCACTACCCCTAAGTAGTTGCCTATAAGGGAGTGGGCCGACGCGGACATGACGCATTTTTGCCGCCTCCAAGAACAGGCATATTTATTTCAGAATTTTTGAACGTTAATAGCTATCGGTGTTATAGCAAATTGTGATATACATCGATTCATGGTGCCGTATCTTTAGATAAACCCAATGTTTTCCGCCTGGGACACAAGTACAAAATCGTGGCCCGCTTAGAAAGTCGAAGCATGAATGCTTTCGTTATAACAAAACTTGGATATTTCCCTCGAAAGGGTTCATACATTAATATTAAGATTTATTAAGAGGAGGATATTTCCTAATATTCATCCAATTCATCTATCGGATCGAATCTCATATAAATTATACATGATATCGAAACAATCATATTGTGGCTTGTGTATATTCTTTACCGGTAATAGTTAAATTTTCTTAAATTGCTATAGTTAACATTCATTTAAAAATTAACTGTTTTTATGCGGCCAAATTGAGTTAAAGAAAAGCAATAACACGAGTTCATGTAAATTTTACTGTAAACCTACTGGAAAAATAGCAAGTAAATACTAAATTGACGTTATTATACATCGCAAAGAAAATTGTTCAACCAAATATCAGTTGATCATTTTCGTCTTCTGCATCTGCTGCCAATTCACTTTTTTTTGTTTTAAATCCCGTAAGATTTATCTCTTCCTGGTTGTCGTAAATTGCACGACGACGACGACAATAGATAATGATCGCCGTGAGAATTCCAACGACAATTCCGGGAACCAATATTGCCACAAATATAATATACCACTCAATTGAGTTTGCAGATTCGTCGGTATCATCAGAGTTCCCTGAAAATTGAAAACCCATGCAAGGATATTAAATTTTGTCAAAATAGCGCCTGAACTACAGCATTCAAATATTTACACGTGATGTAAATTAGATCATGATCATTGGTCAAAATTCTACATTTTCTATTTGAAAATGGCAAAGTGTTTACCATGTTTATTGGTAAACAATTTACATTATAAACTGGCCAATAGACAATAGTATAAACTCTGTGTAATATATTTTGTAATATTAAATTTAAAACATGACAAAATAAACAGAAGACAGGGTTGTTGAAGCTACAGATTATGTGGTGAAAAAAGCACTGTCACACTGATACATTAATAAGCGAACCCCAATATCTTAAATAATTTCAATATCAAAACACCCTGGCATATATTGCAATAAAAAGCATGAATTAGAGGCACTGGGAGCGCTCTATATAAACATGTAAATATTTTATTTAATTCACCGAATACCGTTATTTGCGCGCGCAAAAATCAAATATTTGATTTTCCTTTAGAATTGGCGGATTTGTAATACACGAACGGTATATGGCTTCCGCAAAAACATCTATTGAAAGACTGCATTCGTCGAATCTCTGCAGTTAGTGCCATGCAGCGTTTAAAACTAAACACAGGATAAAATATATAAACAGCGGAATGAACAGATCCGCCAAAGGTTAACTCTGTAGTTACATACATATTTACCTTCAAATTGCGCACAATATAATCTTCAAAACCCATTTCCACCTACTACTCTTTTAATCCGTCAATTGACTTTTACATCTTTTTGGCTTTTAACGTCCAGCGCAGATTATTCAACAGATTCTAGCGCACAACAGACTCTGCGACTTACCAGTTACGCATCAGGAACCAAAGACTACAATTCATACATTCGCCGTGCTTCCACTACGCAAATTATTCACTTTACTCTTTTACTCGTAAATTGTGTAAAATTACTAGCAAATGATCATGTTGAGTAATTTTACTCAATACTTGAGTAAAACCGTTAAACTGAAGCATTCATTTTACTCAGACCTTGAGTAAAATGTAATTGCAAATAATCAGTTTACTCAATGTTTGAGTAAATTATCAAGTTTTATCGTAAAATTGAGTTATTTTACTCAATTTGAGTAGCTATATTTACTCGGTTTGTTGAGTATATCATCCTAAGTTACTCAAAACAATTTACTCAAACATTCGCGTAAACACTTTACTCAAAATTTTGAGTGGAACTCCTCGATATTCGCGTAAATCTACGCATGAATCGAGTAAAAATAACGTTTTACTCAACTTTTTGAGTAATTTTACTCGAATTCAAAACAACACTCTCTTTTTGCAGTGTAATCTGTACAAGAATTGCATGCAGCCGACGATCATAATGATTCGTTGCACAAAAGTGCAAAATTCTAATAATTTATAACCTTTTATTAAAATACATTAATTTCTTACCTATGGCGCTTTTATGGTCTACATTTGGGCTGTGTTTTAAAACTGTTGTCGTGTGCGTCTTGTGGGGTGTTTGGATTATAGTGTCGTAATGACTTTTTCTAAGGGTGTTGGTTGCTGTAGATTTATAGAGCCCAGTTGATGTCTTTGGAATGCTGAAGGTCTTAGATACGGAGTCGTTGTTTTCAAAACGGTCTATGGAAATGCTCTCCTCAGACCAGGAAGATCTGTATATTAAAACTGATGAACTTTCGGAGCCTTGAACTTTATAGGTGTTGCCAGGGTGATGCTTTACAGTCATATTATTTGACACTGTGGGACTGAGATTCAAAACTGTTACGTTACGCGTCTTCTCTGTACTGTAAATCTCAGTATGGAGATAGATATTTCCAGCAATTGTCTTTGAAATAGAGTTATATGAAACAGTGGCGTTTGAAGGTTTTATTACAGTATGTTTCTTTTCCATGTGGATGGACTCACTACTTAAACCACCGTCTCCACGATCGTGTGTCGTGGTTGCAACGTATGATCCTAAAGGACTATAATTCAGAGCAGTTGTTGTATCGATCCTGTGTGTGGCAGCGACTCCATTTTCGTTAAGGATTGTAGTGTAGCTGGATGAAGGTGTCAATTCAGGTGTAACTGAATCTGCTGAGAGATTATAATGTTATGTTAACTTTTGACTAATTATGATAACTTTGACCGAGGTCTGAATAATTCTTGATATCATGCGAAAGCCGAATCCAATAATTGTTTTATTATAAATTTTAATTCTTCCTCGTTTAATGTGGCAAATCTACTGAACGCCATGATTATATTTGTTTTTGCAATTCTGAATTCTTAATTTCGCGGGCTTGTGCTGCCGCAGTGCTGCGTACTTCCGGTTGGATCGAAGTTCGATCCCAAAAATTAACATCCCTCGGTATGACGTCACAACCGGTTAAAATATGAAATTTAACCGGATATTGAGATTTATTTGGAGCGTTTCGACCAATCAGAAACGAGATTACAGTATGAATGTATAATAATAATTATTATTTATTGTAGATTGATTGAAAAATATTTCAGTGTAGAATGAAAGCATCAAACTTGCACGTCTCCGAAAACAGCGACTCTTCGAACATCTTTAATCAATCGGCTTATGATATTTCGACAATTAAAGGAGTTTTTTACCTTTATTTTTAACCTCCTTATGTTCACAATGTACTCCAGCATCCTCAAAATGAGTGCAATCCCCAGCTTCGATATAGGTGTGGTAATAACAGCTTGTTATGTTTGGTTCTGTCCCATCGCATTCAACGATAAACATCGGTCCATAACCGCGAGGAACGTAAGCAAGCTCTTTAGGAGTGCCCATATAACCAAGTTGACGGCATATAACCTTAGACTCGTCTGTGAACCACCAATGGGGGTCACACACTGATCCCCACTTTCCATAAAGGAATACTTCGACACGACCAATACCTTGCTCTTTCAATGGCCCTCTTAATCTGAGTGGCAAAGTCATGGCTGTAATAATTTATATAAAGTGAACGTTAGTCTTGAGCCCTTTTCTTTCAATGGTGATGTGAAACTCTAACTAATATAAGCCCTATGTAAAGCCCTATTATACCGATCGCTTTGCCCATGAGATTGAGATATACAGGGTGTCCCCAAAAAAACGAAAACTATTGAAATCTCCCGTAACAATGTAATTGTTCGAGTTTGAATGCCTAAGCACTCTGTTGGGACCCAAAGGTGTATAAATGTTTACCATACTCATTTTTATGCATGCATATGATGCAGTAAAATTTGCTTGTTCGCAAAAATGATATTTATTAACAATATTTACAATTTACAAATACGGATAACAATATTTAAATGTGCATCTTCAGGACCATGACCTTCGACATGTCCCCTTTCTCTAGCCACACAAAGCATTTACCATTTTATAAGTTGCATTAAATCCCCACGAGCTAAAATTCGTGAACACGGCATTCAAATTTTAACAATGACTGATTTCAATAGTTTTCGTTTTTTTTGGGACACCCTGTATATCATCCCGAACGGGTATGCAATATATTTCATCAAATTCCCGAAAGAAAGGTTTGAAAATTATATACAATATTAAATAACAAGTTGGACTCCATTTTGGGATTGTTGAAAGCTGCGCGAGGCATGCGTTCTACTGTACACGCAAGTTTAGACTTATACAGGGTGTATAAAAAAAACTGCAAATATCATAATTTGTATGCACGAGATTATACATTAAAGAATTTCAATGACTGTGTAACTAATTACGTAATTACGCTTCTGGGATTTGAAAATACGTTTCCCAGGGTTATCAAACAAGCACACAAAGTGAATTAAACTTATGAGTTCGATTACGAATGGCTCAGTTAAGAACAGAACTAATAGGCGTACTTTAAAACAAGAAATACTCTTAGCTGAGCCATTCTTCATTGACCTAATTTTAATTCACTTTGTGTGCTGGTTTTGATAACCCTGGGAAACGTATTTTCAAATCCCAAAAGCGTAATTAGTTGCACAGTCATTGAAATTCTAATGTATAACCTCGTGCATACAAATTATGGTATTTGCAGTTTTTTGATATACATTCTTTATACATTCTTGTTTTTTCAGAAAGTTTTCAATTCACACATTCAAGCCCCCTGTTTATATTTTCACAATGTGCCCGCTGTATTTCACAGACACAACAAACTGCTTATGTTTTGACAGCGGATTTAAGAATGAAATGCCAGCACTCTGTTCAACACTCCTCTCTTCCCGACTAACTTGCTTTACTTACAAAGTTGGAAAACAAAACTGCATAGATTATCTGTTATGTGTACTTACGGACAACTGCCACATCAAGTGAATTCTCGTCTTTTCGATCGTGTTCCTGAGCTACGCATTTATATATTCCCGTGTCAGTTTCACCAACATTTTCCAGCACCAATGTTTGTTCTTCTTTCTTCGTCTCCGTAATCTGTGTGTTTTCTTTATACCATGTCACATTAACAGCAGCGGTTCCTCCCTCTCCTCTGCACACGCATGTAAAGTTATCACCCTTATTTAACGTGATAGGACCGAAACAACTGAATATCACAGTCGGTCCCTCTGAGAATTAGAAAAAGATTTAAAATTATAAATTTTGCATTCATTGAATTTTTTTTCCCATCTAGACAGAGGTGGCAATTGCTTTGCTGCTGTTACATTAAAAACATTCTGTTAATTTTAAAACTTTTTTCAGTTTAATGTAATGGTAATATTTTCGGTTCGCTCGTGTATCTTGATTGCTCGATAAGCGAATTTCTATGAATCTACGCAAAACACTGTTTTTTTACATAGAAAAACATCGAATCGGTTTATGACATTAGCTTTTGCATATAAATAGCATTGTAAATAATGCAGTTTGATTTAAGGGTAGATCATGTCGTAAATGTATAAAATAATTTTTCTACGTCAAATATTTACAGTATATTTCACTGGAAAAGTGAAAACAATATTCTTGCTGTAAATATTTACTGTAAATATTTTTTTATGGTAATATCCGTAGTCTGACCTTAACATGCACGTACTATAATTATTTACAGTATATACAGTTTATTGCATAAATATATACCTTTTGAAGAGCACTGTACTCCTGCGTTGTTATCAGCAATTGGAAATTTAAAATGATGATCTTCGAAACCTCCATGAGGACAGTCCAGTATATTACGTTCCTTTCCAGTACAAGCGACATCATCCAACCACGGGTGCTGAGTTTTTTCGGGATTACCGAGGTCGACACCTAGTAAAGCCCTTTTGGCATCTGGGTAACCCAGTTGACGACATACTACTCTGGCATCTCTCATATCCCATCCACTATCTAAGATAAACCCCCATTGTCCATTGTGGAAAATCTCAATACTTCCTCCAAGACCATCGCGTGCTTCGTTTATCCTCACCGTTTCAGTTACCCCTAGAACAGCATACAAAAACCATTAGAATGTATTTAAACGGTTAATTGATCTACACGTCTTAAGCCCCGTTTGTACTACAGTCAATTTATCGGCACGGCATGGCTAAAATGTGTACGGTAACAATTTCATTCTAGCTCGGCCATTGTATTCGTAGCCTGAACGCTATATTAGAAATTAACCCGGATTTACACTATACACAGCGATTTATTGGCACGGCACCGCGGCTAAAATGGGTACCCGTGCCCATTTCATCCCTGCCCGGCATTTGTTTTGGTAGCGTGAACACTAATAAAATTTTTCATACAGCTACCCACTGTAGCGCTGCCGTGTTAGTCTCAATACTGAAGTTTAGTCTTAGTCATTACTAAATACTACATGATTTACGTTGAATTCTATTTATTCAACGGCAAAGTCTTATGTGACTATAAATTTAATTCCTATGTATTCATTCATATATAGATAAAAACGTTCTCAAAAGTGATTTTCAAAATTTTCATGTCAAGCTGCATCTATGAGGAGATGTTTAAAACCACCTTTGCATGTCTTTAAAAAATTAGTATCATCCCCGAGCCGGCGCGAAGCGCCGTGCGAGGGTACTAATTCCGCTGGGAGATTTATTACACCCGGGTATTGTGACAGAACATAGCGGAATCCAAAGTTGCTCAAATTCTATGTCGTGGACCGTGGACCGTGGACGTTCAATGGTCATGGTACTTATGCGCATGCGTGAAATGCGAACGAGTGTAGACTGGTAATCAACGAACGTTCTGATTGGCTAAGACAGAAAGTTTGTAATTCAATGAGAACGTCAGCAATTTAACTGTCATTTCGTAAACATTTTTGTAAAAGCGTTTCATAAACTTTGTGCAAAGAAAGTAAAACGAGAAGAAACAAGATATATGAAGCATGACAGATAGCAAAGATGAACGTGGATACAGTCAAAACAAAGCCGTGTAAGAGGAATAATTCATAATCTGCAAGCTTATAAATGTTTTCAAAGACAAAGGGTACGTGTTTACTTTGTTTATCTCGTACTTGTTTCGCGGTAAGAATGAGCCGTATTTGTATACTTTTCAGCTTTGTATGCCGTTCAATCGTTCATTTGTTAAATTTTCAGCTTTTTCTGCAAACGCATAAACCTGTGAAGGGCTATTACACCTTTGCTTTAACTTCAAAAAGTGTTTTTGAAAGTGTAATTTGAATTTTGGTATCAAAAATACACACTATATTTATAAAGTATACTGAAACTTTTAGCCGCCGGCGTTGACTGCAATTACAGAATAAAATAACATTTGAAGTTTTTTCTTTGTCTGTGAAGATTTTGTACTGTTTTAATCGTTTGAAACTTCGATTTTAAACCGTTACTTAATTGCTGGCATGGTATAATGCAGCAAAATTGAACGGGCAATGTTTACACTAGCTTTGTGATTATTTTTGTATTGAATGATGGAAACTTTAAGACTGATTTGAGTTTTGTGTCATTTCATAATATAAGTTTAGGTCAGGTTAACTCAGGAAATTGTGTACTTGGTTTGAAATAGCGAGGGGTTGCTGCATGCATGTATTTCTAGTCTAGTATTAAAATTACTTTGGATCCGTTTTCATCGATAAATGAAAAAGTAATAGTTTGTTGCATAATATACATAACATAGTAAAACAAAACTCGTACTATAAAATGCTCCATAGAACACATAAATTGCACTTGCATGGCCGTTCTTATTTTTTGTTAATTATTTATGCCCCAGATATACATGTAGTCATTAGCCAAACAGGCCCAGAAATTATTAAATTGTGCTCTAATGCAATTCTAAGAGCACGCGCGAAATTTCTGGACTAACGGAATTACTTTTACGGAATTACTACCAAGGGCACTTTTTTGTTATGTTTTATTTAATTCAGTACGTTTATACCTGTTTTTCTACATGCTACCCCAGCATCGTCGCATTTGTTGCGATGTATTCTGTAACTACAGCTTGCTACGTTTTGATGTTCCTTTTCACAAAAAACCTCATAAACCGGCACAGGCGGATCGTAACCTTTGGGAACGTTCCAAAACATAAGTTTATCAGAAACACCAAGATAACCAAGTTGACGGCAAAAAACCACAGTAAGGTCGTTATCATGATATGAATCACAAACTCTTCCCCATCTTCCATCAAGGAACACTTCAACGCGACCGGTACCATTTTCACTCGAAGGCCCTTTTAATCTGACAGGAAGCGCGGCTGTTAAAATAATTTATAAACAAACATCGTGAAGAGTTTACCCACCACAATGGGCAAACAACGATAATTTTAGCATGAGAAAAATTAAGGCATGTAAGAAGGGAAAATGAGAAGAACGTAGACCCCAGTATGGTGGATTTCCTCTATATTCATATCTGCTAAATTAATTTCATTTCATTTTTAACGATGCTTCCAACATTGTTTCCAGGGTATTTGCTCTGGCCACACATGCATGAGAAGAGCGGGAATACCTTAACTGGAGACGAGTTTGCGATCTCTGTAAATTATCGTCGTTTTCTTATATTTTAATGAGTAATTCCATCAGTTATTTTGTGGAAAAATAATTTATTTTAAAAATCAATGGCTTTGCCCGCCTGACGATTTAGTCGCGCACTGCAAATTTCAAGTTGTTGCATGTGATTATTCATTGCTTTAGAAATTGATTGTGAAAGCCCACCTTGAGAACTTAAAAAACGGAATACTATACGTAAGCAATACAAAAAGGTATTTTCCGAATTATCAGTGCTGATTCTCTTCAGTATACTTGTACTGATTCTTGTTCGCTTTTTTCAGTCGCACTACGAATTTAGTATTGCTTATTGAAGCTGGAAAGCTTACATCACACGATTGAGTGTTACTTACGATGAACCTTCAGACTGATCGATTTGCGTTCTGTAAGATTGTGCCTTTGGACTACACAGCTATATATTCCATTGTCTTGTTCAACAACATTTCGTAACACCAATGTTTGTCTTTCACCAATCTCTGTTTCCATCCGCGTATTTTCTTTATACCACGACACGTTGGCTGCTGGGATTCCTCCATTTTTACAAACACATGTCAAATTATCACCTTCGTCTGCTATGATAGCGCTGGAGCAGTTGATTGCCACAGTAATTCTCTCTAAATAATAATCCCAAGCAAAGTTTGAGATAGAAACACAAGAAAATTAAGCGATTCCATGGTAGAGGGTTAAAACCCGTATACATGGTTTATCCTAGATTAATTCATCTACACTCTTTTTTACGATTTTTTTACGATTTCACACATTCAAGCTGTTCCCTATTTTATGTTGTCGTTCTCTCTTTCTATTTTTCAAAGCTGGCCATGCAGTTGTATTTCACATGCATAGCGAGCTGGTTACGTTTTCGCGGCGGGCTGGATGACAGATACTAGCATGCTGCGAGACGCTTCCAGCCAATCAATTAAATTTTGTTACAAACACAAACTTCAGAAACTAAGCGCACAATCATAAAATATCCGTTACGAATGTCCTTACGGGGAAGTACCACATCAATTGATTTCTCGTCTTTTTGATCGTGGTCCTCAGCTACGCATTTATATATTCCCATGTCAGTTTCACCAACATTTTCCAGCACCAATGATTGTTCTTCTTTCTTCGTCTCCGTAATCTGTGTGTTTTCTTTATACCATGTCACATTAACAGCAGCGGTTCCTCCTTCACCTCTACACACGCATGCGAAATTATCACCCTTACTTAGCTTAACAGGAGTGAAACAACTGAATATCACAATCAGTCCCACTAAAAATTAGAAATAGATAAAGTTATAAGCTTTAGTAATTTATTTTCCATACGTATTGCAGGCAGGTCTGTTAAAAATTGAAAGAGTAATTGAATTGAAATTATAACATTTAACGTAACGCGCGTGCTGCTTGGTGAAGAGGACTTTCCATAATTGTACAGAAACATGGAAATATTTTTTCCATATTACTTCTTCTATAAACAGTACTTATACAGTTGTATGACTGATGGTTTATCAAGCGCATGTTATACTGTAAATCCACGAAATATTTTCACTAGAATTATATTTACAGCAGATATTTAAATGAAAAAAAAACATTATAAGGATACTGTTTTTTATAGTAAGTGTCTTTTGTTTCACCTTAAGAGATAGCTAAAGTAAATATTAACAGTAGTAAAATTTTGGTAAACTAAAATTTAGTTTAGTTTAGTTTAGTTTAGTTAGTTTAGTTTAGTTTAGTGTAAAAATATACCTTTTGAAGAGCACTGCACTCCTGCGTTGTGGTGTTCTTCGTGAGTACGGCCTCCGAGACCTCCATGAGGACAATCAAATATATTACGTTCCTCCCCAGTACAAGCGACTTTATTCAACCACGGTCGAGAGGTTCTGTCGAAATGATCACGATCGGTTCCGATCAAAATCCTTCTAGCATCAGGAAAACCGAGTTGACGACATACAACCCTACCATCTCTCATATCCCATCCATATTCTAAGATATATCCCCATCGTCCATCGTGGAAGATTTCAATACTACCAGTGCCATTTTCCGCGTTTTTCCCATGTAACCGTACTCGTTCAGTTACCGCTAAAACGATGGAAAATACTATCAGAATTGTATTTAAAATATATTATAGTCTAGTGTCACTATAATATTTCATTCCTATATTAATACATAAAACCGTTCTCAAAAATTATTTTTAAAATGGGACGTGGCTCTTCGAAAGATTACCAGTTAGCATGTCTAGCTGCATCTTTGAGGAAAGCTATATAACCACGTTCTTTTATCTTATTTAAAATGGTCTATTTTCTTTTTTCCTTGAGAAGTGAAAAAAAAATAGTTTGTTGCATAATACTGCGCAGACGGAAATAAACGGTCTTTAGATGCTGAAGGCGGTTTGCTGTACTAGTTTATTTAATTTAGCATACGTTTATACCTGTTCTTCTACATTCTACTCCAGCATCTTTGCACCTGTCGTCGCCTTTTTTGCCGTGAAAACAGTTTTCTACACTTCGATCTCTTTTATTACATGTAAGTTCGTAAACCGGCCCAGGAGGATCATAACCTTTGAGAAACGTCGTATAATTAAGTTGCTCAACAGCATCCAGATAACCAAGTTCACGGCATACAACCCTAGCATCGATGAAATCCCAATCTTTATCACAAACTCTTCCCCACCCTCCATTAAGGAACACTTCTACACGACCAATTCCATTTTCACTTGAAGGCCCCTTTAATCTGACAGGCGGGGTGGCTGTTAAAATATTTCATGAAAAACATTGTGAAAGTAAGAGCACAGTTATTAAAACACACAATTCATTATCTATGTTATTGTCCAGGTTTATGCAAAAAATGGTTCCTTATCCGTCACATGTCTATTGTATTTTTGCCCAACTATAGGCTTGGCTTAGCTCCTCAACCGTGACTTGAAGAACATGTTAATTCAGACCTTACTATTGGTTTATTTGTTCAAAACACAATAGGCAGGTGACGAATAAGGAACATTTTTTTGCAGAAATGTTCCCCGACATAGTTAATGAGTTCTATTATTTCGGAGTTTACTCCACTATCAGCTTACATTTACGCATTTAAATTTAATAAAATTTGTTATTAAAAAAGCTTCTGGTCGTTATTAAAAAGATATTATATAGCAAACGTCACTTCTGGTGAAATGGAGCTCAGTGATTGGTTGAGAATAATTTTCAGCGGTCCATTACTTTCCCGTAGTGGACCGGCACTTTTCTGTAACTGACCGGCGTTAGCGACGATACATTACGAGATGAAAAACAAAGAAGTTCTCAATGAGAAAGGCACAAATAAATGCTCAAGAAATTAATTGAAATTAATAAGGCGTCTCCAGACAGTTTAGGTAAACTGAATAATTTAATCTTTTGTTTTTGTTTTTATCAAATGCGTGCCAGCTAGGCTACTAATACGAATTCATGCATTTCTTGGTTGTTTCAAGTGCAAATACATCCCTTATGCCATATAATGAACTTTTTATTAACCTCGCTTGCTCGGTCTTTACCGAGAAATATCGGACCTCGATCTTTTTGTACAAACCTTGCTCTACGAGCTCGGTCTGTACAAAAAGACCTCGTGTTTGGTTAACAAGAAGTTATTATTACATTTAAACGAGGCTGAACGAAAGTTCGTTCCTAAACACATGGAAGAAGAGAATAAAAATAATTTAGCTCACCACGATGGGCAAAAAATAATTTTAGCATGAAAAAAAGAAGCAAGTCAATAGGAACAGGAAACGACTGGTAAATTGGTTTCTCCAAATAAACAGACAGGGTTTCTAGTCAGTCTACGAATGTACTAATATACAGTTCCACTTTTAATACTGATAATACAACCTGTTACAACTACGAAAAAATTAATATTTTTTTATTATACTTACGACGAATCGTCAGTTGAATTGATTTGCGTTCTGTAAGATTGTGGCTTTCGACTACACAACTGTATGTCCCATTGGCATTTCTACCAACATTTCTTAGCAGCAATATTTTCTTTCTTTTTTTTCTCAGTAATCCGTGTGTTTTCTTTATACCACGACACGCTGGTTGCTGGGACTCCTCCTGCACCTAGACCTCTACATGCACATGTGAAATCATCACCTTCTTTCACTTGGATAGGACTGAAGCAACTGAGTAACACAGTTATTCCCGCTAAAAATATAACCAAAACAAGGTTTCAACCAGACGTTATAACAAGACAGAAGAAATTTATGGTTGAACGAGTAAAACTGTGCAAACCTATATATCTATTCGGCAGGTATAATTACAAGTCTATATATCATGAATGAATTTAAATTCTTTACGTCATGGGATAGTGTTTTTGCCTCATGTTAGTATGTATGTCTCAGTCAGTCTCAAAGGGCCTGTATGCATGCATATAAAAGCTTGCCCTCCTTTGGTCTCTCTAGTAATCCTACTACCCGATCATGTTGCTCGCCAGAAATATATATGTTGGTCTCTCTAGTAATCCTACTAACCGATCATGTTGCTCGCCCGAAATATATATGTTGTCAAGTAAAATAAAAAAAAATACATTTAACAAATTACATTGTTCTCTAAAATTTATGAATATAACTATGCAAAACGTTTTCTCTCCTGTTGAAAAGTCTCATTTCCGTTACTGTCTGTCGTGCAAAATAACTCAAAGAGAAATAGAGCTAGCGTGACAGAATACTGTAAGCCATGTTATAGCTATATCATGTTGATAAAGTTCAAAATTAATTTGACTAGTGGAACCCCATATATAATAATAAATTCACCTGTCAAAGAACATTGTACTCCCACGTCTCGAAAGTGCAAGCAAGAATTTTTTCCCCATCCTGGATGAGAACATTCTGAAATATATCTTTCATCTCCGGTACAAGCGACGTGACTTAACCATATAGGTACACTATACCATCCAAATGGAACATGGTGGTGATCTATTGCATGTGCAGTACTAATGGCATATGGGTAACCAAGCTGACGACATGCAACAGTACTATCTTTCATATCCCATTCATGAAGACAGATTGTCCCCCAGGTTCCGTTGTAAAATACCTCGACACGACCGATGCCTTTTGCACTGGATGGCCCTCTTAATCTGAGCGGTGCTTTTATTCCTGTGGGATTAGTAATATTATTTATTATTATACATTATAGTAGTAAAAGCGATTTGATTGGCTAATGCTTGACAGATAAATCGCGCAATCACGCAAAATTCAGTTAGCTGCTAGCAGATAACTGAGTTATCTGCAATTGAGCCTGCGGTGGTTAAAAAGCGGTATTCACTTGAATGTATTTATGTATTAATAAATTATGTATTTTTGGATGTTGCCATTAAAGAAGGTTTTTCATTCGTTCATGCTATGTTTACTATTCTTCAAATGTATAATAAAACTATTATTGAATTCGGTTTTTGTGATATGCAGAGTTATCAAGGTCTCGGTAAGCGTTATCCGCCTCACCTTCGGCTCGGCTGATAACGCTTACCTCGACCTTGATAACTCTACATATCACAAAAACCTCATCCAATAATTGTTTATTATATGTGTACAGAGATTTATGCACAGCAGAATGATGAAATAAAAATCGTATTTCACTCTGTAAATAAATTTCATGCAATTTGATTGGACGTACGATGTTTTTCACGTGTGAAAAAATGCCATACACGGCTTTTGATTGGACGTACGATATTCTTCACACGTGAAAAATTGTCGTATGTCATTTTGGCGGTTTGGTTTACATTTTCTTTCAAGATGGCGTCGACATATAGGAGTGAAATTCAAAACATAATTCTCATATTCAAGATATTTTTACATTCAGCACATTCTCAAATCTTTCGGAAAGAATATCTAACTTCTATTGAACAAAATTACAAAGAAACTGAACGGTAATAAATATGTTTTGATGGATAAAGTTTCGATTTTGTTGATCACTGAGTTTTTGTATATTAAAAGCGTGTCGTTGTCAAATTGATCTCTATACACATTTAATAAACAAATTCTCTATACACATTTAACAACTTCGTCTCCAAAATCTCTATACACATTTAACAACCTCGTTGCGAAGGATCCTTCCCAACTCGTGCATAAAAATCGTACGCACTCGCCAACCATGAAGTAATCTCTATTTCTCATTAGTCACCGACATTCGGCCATGTATTAATTGTTGGTGACCGTTGACGAATAAAATTTATTCAAAATAAGAATGCACTTCTCCATGTAACAGACAAGAGCATACGCCGAGTGTCGCTGACCTATATGAGAAACAGACATTTACAAAAAAAGTTTCCAAGATTTTCAAAGGAATTGGTATGTTGAGACGCATGAAACCTTATATACCGAAGTTTGCTCTTATACAAGTTTACAATGCCATAATTCTGCCACATTTTGACTATACTGTAGCCTTGTTTGGGATACTTGTAGTAGTTATTTGATCGAAAAGTTACAAAAAATGCGAAACAGGGCTGCACGAGTTATAACTGGTAAATCGTATGAAGCAAGGTCGAGTGAAATCCTAGCAGACCTTGGGTGGCTACCATTGGCAAAACGAATGAAAATAAAAAAGGCAACGTTTATGTACAACATATAAGAAACAAAAATCACAATGAATCTATGATAAATATGTTTAAAATAAGCAACAATGAAGCTCATAATCTACGAAGTAACGAAATTAATTTTCAAATTCCAAAGCCAAGGACAAACTTTATGAAGAAAAGCATCAGCTTTTCCGGCGTAACATTGTGGAATGATCTGCCAACCACTGCAAAACAACAAGAGCTAACAATTGCTCAATTTAAAAATATTCTTGGTAGCCATTTTACGTCTAATAATTAGTAATTTCTTTTAATTCTTATACTTTCATAAATTTATATAATTGTGTGTGTTAATTTTTGTAAATAATGTATAGATTGATTTTTACTAGCGGGTGAACGGCCTCTTGAAAATCAGTTTTTAGTACTGAAGGGTTACCGTTTTGTAAATAAGGTTGAATAATAATAATAATAATACTTCAGCTGTTTATCTATGAAGACTATTATTATTGATCCCTTGACACATTCAATATGCACTATTAGCTTAATACTTTAGTGCACATTTCATAACAGTCTTAAGTAAAAGTATAATACCTTTGTTTGTGGTGAAATATGAAATGTTTGTGTCAGACAACGGATTCTGAAATAAGGCCTAGTTTTTGTTTTAGATTTTGTTTGCGTCGAATGTTATTCAAACAATAGATAATGAGATGATAATGAGGGTTGCCATATGGGGTCGCTCATTCTTCAAGCTACTGTCAATCTGGAGTTTTTAAAATTCGCGACTTTGCGAATTTTCTAAAGCCGTTCTTTGCTTTTGGTTTAGCTAATGACGAGCACGACGACTATTAACTGTATGCATATCAAAAGCAAGCAACCTCGACCTTACCATATTTTGCCCCTACGCGATGGTCGCTGCGTGGGTCAGTCTAGTTCCTAGGCCTCTATACGTTCTTTAGTACGCGATCTCAATCTCATTAATATACGCACGGAACAGCGTGCAATGAGGCCTAGGGACTAGGCTGTATGATGGCACCCAAGGATCCCAGTATCATAACTATAGTTTTCGGCTCCTTCCTACGGCTACGCATTTTACGGTCATCGAACATGAACTAACATATTATATATGAACATGTCCCCCGCCCCAATGATTGACGCTGGCTATGCCTATGGTAGATGAGTACCTCCAATTTTCAAATGAATTCGGTAGATGTCTTCTGAGCCGTTTTTAAAAAAAACATTACATACATAGAATCCACTATCATAAACTCTGACATTCTGCAAGATTACTTTCGTTGAATTATGAAGTGCGACGCGTCCTTTATAACTTTCATGAATCTTGAGACCTTGACCTTTGAAGTGGTGCATAATAAATGTTCTTTCGGATAAGCTAGGAACCGAACTATAACGGAGAATTGTGGATAGACATGAATCGTCGCTGATACAAGGGATTTCCACGTCTGAACCAACCGTCACGGTTTGAACACGATAATCTGACGAGGATAATGCTAATACTAGAAACATGAAACAAAAAATTAGTTATGTGATCAAAACGGGTTGAGTGGCAATCTTGGCAATGTACTTCATTGACAAATGAAGTACTTTATTGTTTTATTTATTTTTGGTATATTATTTATTTATTGAAGTACTTTATTGTTTTTCTTTTTTTCTGAGCACCAACAATCCATCACCGACTGTCGGCGACATACGAGAACCAGTCTTAAGACTTGAATTCAATTGTTTGTGCTCAGAAATAAGGAAAATTCCTTTAAAACAACAAAGTGCTTCATTTCCCTCAGCACGAGGAATTACCAATGTCAATGATGTCCTATTTCATCAGCGATATACACATTTAATAAACAAATTACTTCATGGTTGGCTCGTTTGTACGATTTTTATTATGCACTCGTTGCGAAGGATCGCAAAATCACTCATTCGCTGCGCTCACTCGTTCGTATTGCGATCCTTCACAACTCGTGCATAAAAATCGTACGCACTCGCCAACCATGAAGTAATCTCTATATACACGTTCACACGATGCAGCATAACTTGACAACGGTACAAAAATTGCAGCGGTTCGAAAATTTCCGCTTACGGCGCTTAGTGGTCGCGTTTACGCGATGCCACAACATGGTCATTTAGCCAATATCACAAGCCAATAAAACAAGAATATCGCCGCCAGAAAACATGACACCGAAAAGAGCTAGTAGGAAGTAATCACTAATAAAATTACTAATAAGTCATTTAGTCACAATCTTACCATTCTTCCAGAACAGGAAAATTTTCCCGCTTGGCTGTATACACAGCTATGTTGTTAAAATTATCAAATTATATTAATGAAAAGAGCTGCGCTCAAGCATCCAAGTTGGATGAAATCCATTTCTCTCATCATTCCGTCGTAAAAATTAACAGCATATACGCAAGGTCGAAACGGCATGATTTAATACCGTTTTCAAATGAAAACGGCATCATGTAATTACATGTAAACGGGGTCTTAGTGATAAGTTGGGCACTCAGCCATACATATCTCAAAATGTTCCGACTTGAGTGGGTGAACTGATGCATCTAGTTGTGCTTCAAGGCCTTCTCAATCATGGCAAATAAAAAACTAGCAGCGCTGGCAAATGCTGCTTGGAATTGTTAAAAGGGAGCTCGGCTATCACAAGGAGTGCGATAACGAATACAAAATTCGTCATTTTTGCGCTAACTCCGCTTTGTTTTCTTACACCTTCTGGCGAAACTCGTAGTGGATGAAATTATTGCCTAAACTAGACGTTTTAGCGATGGCGTATGCTAGCAACGCGCGAGAATAACAAATCCCGTAGTTGTATAGCTATGTTCGTGGTCATGCGTATTTGCCATTTTCCGGCGAATATGACCATGGTTGTATTTGCCATTTTTCGACGAATATGACCATGGTCGTATTTGCCATTTTCCAGCGAATATGACCATGGTCGTATTTGCCATTTTCCGGCGAATATGACCATGGTCGTATTTGCCATTTTTCGGCTAATATGACCATGGTCGTATTTGCCATTTTCCGACGAATATGCCGGACCATGGTCGTATTTGCCATTTTCCGACGAATATGACCTTGGTCGTATTTGCCATTTTCCGACGAATATGACCATGGTCGTATTTGCCATTTTCCGACGAATATGACCATGGTCGTATTTGCCATTTTCCGGCGAATATGACCATGGTCGTATATTTGTATTTTCCGGCGAATATGACCATGGTTGCATGCTACTAAAGCTCTAATTCTGTACTCTATTGAAAAACAATAAACAAAACCACTACTCAATTCTCTTGGCCCTAATCTAATAATAATTAGTCATAAAAAATAGAATAAATCGACTTTTAAATTAATTGAATTGTGTGATTAGATGATATTAGCAGTCAAGATAATTTAGATAAACCCGAATTAAACTGGTTATACGCATGCGTGGCAGAGTGTAGTAACTAGTCAACTACGGACCTGTTTCTCAAACTGCTATTATCAGAGCTTTGTGCGGGCATATATGGACTTGGGTTCGAGAATGTGGCGTGGGAACCAAAATTAGAGCCTTGTGCGACCCACGTGTAATTTGTAATTTGTAATTTGTAACGTTTTCGACACAGCGTCGAGAACCATGCAAGCGTGTTCCGTTAAATATGCTTTTTTGTCAGTTTTTATATGATTACTTTAAATGTCGGGTTACATTTATAAGGATATTACTATTAAAGCAAACAAGGATTCTCAATGTCTAATATCGCTTTAACTCTCATAACAATGCGATGATAATCGTTGAGATGAAATGATTTCTTTGAATGTAAGAAAAAGTGCCTCGTTTTGAGCCCCTATATCCACGTCGATTAAGATGTTTACCACGCAGATACAATTTTGTACTTCTTGAGAAATTGCGGTTTATATTCTCATATGTTGTATGTATAGATATCGAAAACAAATGCTTTTGCATAATTGTGGAATATCTTAATTATAGATGTAAACATCTTACCTTTACATCGCTCTGGGACAAAGTACAACGCGCATAATACGCCTGCGATAAAGACGAAGACTTGCATCATTCAAATAACGAACTCAACTCTAACATGGCGTGTACATGTGTTGATGATATTTTACTGCTTAATATTTGCAGACAGATTTCGATATCTTCGACAAAGATATTGATCACCCGTGCAACCGCTCATTGTTTACCTCAGCGGGGTGTGCGAGGCTTGAGACCGCATTGATATATGCTTTATTTACCCCATATGATTAAACTTTTTTAGCGATCATTTTACTCTAATACAAGTAATTATAATAAACACCGCGAGGGTCAGTAATGCCCTTCAAGTATATATAGTGTCACACATAAACTGAAATTTGTTGTAAGTTCGTATATCAAAAAAAAAGAAATGTTATCACAGACTGATACGAAACAAAGCAGAAAGGTCGTGTCCACGAACCGCGATCAAAAGACTGCTTCTTTCTGTTTCGTTTCATTTTTCGGCGATACATCTTACACAATCTTAAAGCTTAATTGGTTCTTAATCTTTAACCTGCCGAATGAAGTAAACTCCGAAACCATTTATCTAAAACTGTCTGCACGTTAGTGAAACGTTGCATAGCTATTTATTTCAAGTCAATAAAGTTCTTATAGTTCTATAACTATATAAGAACCGAATGATATTTTAGCCACGTTTTGCTTCGATGGAGTTGAAGTGGAAATCATAATAGAAGTTTGAACCCGTTTGAACCCCAGCAATATTCGTTGGATAGAGAAAAGATTAAAGGGAAATGGCAATATATTTGTTTATTTTCTTATTTGAAAGAGCTTTGAAAACTATACTTAATTCTCTTTTATCGTTTTTTTATATCTTGCTTACTTCTACAAATATTTTGATCGAAAAGAATGAAATATCCGCCATGTGAGAAATATCCGAAATATCCGCCATAATGAGATAAAAAGTTTTCCAAGATGGCGGATATTTCATTCCTTTCGATCAAAATATTTGTAGAAGTAAGCAACATATAAAAAAACGGTAAAAGAGAATTAAATACAGTTTTCAAAGTTCTTTCAAATTAGAAAATAAAAAAATATATTGCTATTTCCCTTTAAAAGGGAAAAGGCTGAGAGAGCAAAGTGGAGGCATAGTTCGGGAAACGTTGTAGAAAATGGTGTTACGAAATCAGTTGTAGTAGCTTCGGAGCGAAAAGGTCTCCCTAAAGAAATTGAAATGAATCAAATTCGGGGTGGTGAAACAAGACGTGATAATCAATTGCGATATGTGCATATATGTCTGTGCCGCGCGTACGCGTTACGCGTATCAAAGAAGTGTGCTTGAGTGCTTCTATTTCGTTTCAATTTCAGTGTTATCTGCACATTAAAATAATATTTTATGTTATAACGTTAGGGCACGCTTCGCACTTTGAGCTGCGTCGCAAAAGTTGGAGCTCAGTTTTATTCCTTGTGAATTATCTTTTTTCTGTTATGTTTATAGGCCGGTTCATTATTTTCGTGCAACTAATATGTGATAATTACTCTCTATTAACTTTAATATTTCGTGATAAAGAACATGCATATGCCATATTCAAGTAATAAGATATCTCGATTTGAAGAATAAACTAATTCTAGTAAACTAATTATCCAAATTTATACGAGAAATTTCTAAATGGCTGCATCAGCTTACGAAATGCATTGAACCGCAGTGTTTAATTCCACGTTTACGATAAAGATGACTGTATGTAAATTTACCCATGCACAAACTGACAATAAAACATCCAAATGGCATTTTCTTTGAAAAACATAACAGAAAATACCATGTGTTTTGCTCAACTTAGTATTAGTTCATCTTTTCTGTTGCCAATTCGTTTTTCGTATTAATTCCCGTAAGATTCATCCCTTCCTGCATGGTTGTGGTAAATTTCACGACGACGAAGATAATAGATAATGATCGCTGTGAGAATTCCAACAACGATTCCAGGAACCAATATTGGCACAACAATGATATACGTACCACTCAATTGAATTTTTAGATTTGACGATGTCGGCATTTCCTCAGAATTGAAATTCCATGAAATAAATTTTGTTTAAGAACACGAAGTAAAGAAGTATAAAGTACCGAGGTATGTAGTAAGCTAGGTAAGTTTGTAAGTAAAGTTTGTGATTTCTATGAAATGGGCGGAATGATAAAGGGCGGAATTGAACCGACTATGCTCTAGAAATGAAGATGAGTAATCAACCGCGTCTCAACAAAAAAGCTGTAAATTTATTTCTCTTAAATAGCGTCGAAAGAGACGTTTTTCGATGATAGTCGGTGATTAGTGCAAAAAGCTAATCAGAACGCAGCATTGGCAATATTACTGAATTCTTACTGATTACCAGGTAACTTTATTCGGATTTTTTTCGATTTTACTTCATAGTTTTCAGGCTATGGTAACTCTAAGAGACAGAATGAAACCATGTTTTTGAACTAAAAGTTTTTAAAGGGTCTTAATTTCGAGTTGAATCACACACAACTATTTTCAAGCCATGCAGGAGCAGTTGAGAAAAATTAGTCAATTATCGGTCTTCCTGCAGGAATCGAATTTATCTACATTAAGTGGAGTGCCACAAAATCGTGATTGATTTACCCTCACCGTGTCTTTGAACACCTTTCCACTACAGCTGTATACCGTAGTAAATATTTTTCACACAACCAAAATCCGGTTGTATAGTACTTGTATAATACGACAATGAGAATGAAGCATTCGGTTAAAGTAAAAAAATCAAATATAAGGTGTAAGAAAGTAAAATTTTTCATCTAATGCATATTAATTTTGGAAACTCTTTTTGGGCTATGTTTGGAAATTGTTGTGTGCATCCTCTGAGGGGTGTGGATTATAACATCATGATAGCTTCTTACCAAGAGTGTCACAGTGGATTTGCGTAACCCTGCAGTAGTGTTTTGCGAGGTTTTGGGAGTACTATCGTTCAATGTTATGAAGTGACTATCCCCAAGACGTTCTGTGGAAATAATATCATCAGACCAGGCATGGAACTGTGAAAATACCTAAAGCCAATACAAACAAAAATAATTAAGTTAAAAGATAGTGAGATTTTAACTTAAAAATCCGGGACTTGAATTTTCCCCCTTATCGGCATACTCCCACATTTTGGCCTGGCTCTCTCAGTCCATCTAATATATAAAGATCAGTGATATAACAGCAAAAATAACTTTTGCGTTCGACGAATGAAAATGTCCACTTTCTTGGGTATACAGATCCTTTATGGAGAAAAGTGTCATACCTTTTTTATATATAGCTTAGTAGGTTTGTGGGCTCGTTTCTGTACCTTGATTCTGTTGATTTATGCTTATTCAAAATACCCACGAAATGTAGGTATTTCGAACGGCCGATCACGAGGCCTTTCCTCTTCTCTCCTCCTCCTAGCCCCAACCTCCCTATAAAGTCACAGAAGGCCCTGGGAACGAGGTTAGCTATGACCGCACTCATCCTTGTCTCAATACGCTGCGTAATAACAGCTTTTCATGTTTTGCTCCATGCCTTCGCAATTAACTAAGTAAGACGGTCCATAACCGTGAGGAACGTATCCCAAATCAATTCGTTCAACATTGCTGGGTATAACCAAGTAGACGGCATACGTCCTTGGCATCCTTTAAATCCCAGTCTAGGTCACAAACTGTTCCCCCTTTTCTACAAATTAAGGAATACCTCGACACGACTAATACCTTGCTGTTTCCTTGGCCGTCTTAATCTGAGTGCAAAGCAAGGCTGTATGTTAGTTTCAAACCTATTATAATTTTAGGTATACTTACCCAATACCCCTAAGTGGTTCCCTATAATGGGCCGACGCGGACATAAGGCATTTTTTGCCGCCTCCAAGAACAGGCATATTTATTTCAGAATTTTTGAATGTTAATAGCTATCGGTGTTATAGCAATATGTGATATACATCGATTCATGGTACCGTATCCTTAGATAAACCCAATGTTTCCCGCCCTGGACACAAGTACAAAATCATTGCCCGCTCAGAAAGTCGAAGCATGAATATTTTCGTTAAAACAAAACTTGTATATTTCCCTCGAAGGCATGCATACATTAATATTAACAGTTTGGGAGGATATTTCCTGAAATTCATCGAATTCATCGATCTGATCGCAGCTCATATAAATTATACATGATGATCGAAACAATCATATTGTGGCCTGTGTATATTCTTAAGTTTTCTTATATAGTTAAGTTTTCTTAAATTGCTATAGTTAAAATTTATTTAAAAATTAACCGTTTTATTCGGCCAAATTGAGTTAAAGAAAAGCAATAACACGAGTTCATGAAATTTTAGTATAAACCTACTGGAAAAATAGCAAGTAAACACTAAATTGACGTTATTAAACATCGCAAAGAAAACTGTTCAACCAAATATCAGTTGATCATTTTCGTCTTCTGTATCTGCTGCCATTTCACTTTTTTTTGTTTTAAATCCCGTAAGATTCATCTCTTCCTGGTTGTCGTAAATTGCACGACGACGACGACGACAATAGATAATGATCGCCGTGAGAATTCCAACGACAATTCCGGGAACCAATATTGCCACAAATATAATATACCACTCAATTGAGTTTGCAGATTCGTCGGTATCATCAGAGTTCCCTGAAAATTGAAAACCCATGCAAGGATATTAAATTTTGTCAAAATAGCACCTGATCAACTACAGCATTCAAATATTTACACGTGATGTAAATTAGATCATGATCATTGGTCAAAATTCTACATTTTCTATTTGAAAATGGCAAAGTGTTTACCATGCTTATTAGTAAACAATTTACATTATAAACTGGCCAATAGACAATAGTATAAACTCTGTGTAATATATTTTGTAATATTAAATTTAAAACATGACAAAATAAACAGAAGACAGGGTTGTTGAAGCTACAGATTATCTGGTGAAAAAAAGCACTGTCACATTGATACATTAATAAGCGAACCCCAATATCTTAAATAATTTCAATATCAAAACACACTGGCATATATTGCAATAAAAAGCATGAATTAGAGGCACTGGGAGCGCTCTATATAAACATGTAAATATTTTATTTAATTGACTGAATACCGTTATTTGCGCGCGCAAAAATCAAACATTTGATTTTCCTTTAGAATTGGCGGATTTGTAATACACGAACGGTATATGGCTTCCGCAAAAACATCTATTGAAAGACTGCATTTGTCGAATCTCTGCAGTTAGTGCCATGCAGCGTTTAAAACTTAACCGAGGATAAAATATATAAACAGCGGAATGAACAGATCGGCCAAAGGTTAACTCTGTAGTTACATACATATTTACCTTGAAATTGCGCACAATATAATCTTCAAAACCCATTTCCACCTACTACTCTTTTAATCCGTCAATTGACTTTTACATATTTTTGACTTTTAACGTCCAGCGCAGATTATTCAACAGATTCTAGCGCACAACAGACTCTGCGACTTACCAGTTACGCATCAGGAACCAAAGACTACAATTCATATATTCGCCGTGCTTCCACTACGCAAATTATTCACTTTACTCTTTTACTCGTGAATTGTGTAAAATTACTATGATCATGTTGAGTAATTTTACTCAATACTTGAGTAAAACCGTTAAACTGAAGCATTCATTTTACTCAGACCTTGAGTAAAATGTAATTGCAAATAATCAGTTTACTCAATGTTTGAGTAAATTATCAAGTTTTATCGTAAAATTTAGTTATTTTACTCAATTTGAGTAGCTATATATTTACTCGGCTTGTTGAGTATATCATCCTAAGTTACTCAAAACAATTTACTGAAACATTTGCGTAAACACTTTACTCAAAATTTTGAGTGGAGCGCCTCTATATTTGCGTAAATCTACGCATGAATCGAGTAAAAATAACGTTTTAGCTACTCAACTTTTTGAGTAATTTTACTCGAATTCAAAAAAAACTTTCGCAATCTGTATAAGAATTTCATGCAGCCGACGATCATAATGATTCGTTGCACAAAAGTGCAAAATTCTAATAATTTATAACCTTTTATTAAAATACATTAATTTCTTACCGATGGCGCTTTTATCGTCTACGTTTGGGCTGTGTTTTAAAACTGTCGTCGTGTGCGTTTTGTGGGGTGTTTGGATTATAGTATCGTGATGACTTTTTCTAAGGGTGTTGGTTGCTGTAGATTTATAGAGCCCAGTTGATGTCTTTGGAGTGCTGAAGGTCTTAGATATGAATTGGTTGTTTTCAACACGGTCTATGGAAATGCTCTGCTCAGACCAGGAAGATCTGTATATTAAAACTGATGAACTTTCGGAGCCTTGAACTTTATAGGTGTTGCCAGGGTGATGTTTTACAGTCATATTATTTGACACTGTGGTACTGAGATTCAAAACTGTTACGTTACGCGTCTTCTCTGTACTGGAAATCTCACTATGGAGATAGATATTTCCAGCAATTGTCTTTGAAATAGAGTTATATGAAACAGTGGCGTTTGAAGGTTTTATTACTGTAAGTTTCTTTTCCATGTGGATGGACTCACTACTGAAACCACCGTCTCCACGATCGTGTGTCGTGGTTGCAACGTATGATCCTAAAGGACTATAATTCAGAGCAATTGTTGTATCCATCCTGTGTGTAGCAGCGACTCCATTTTCGTTAGGGATTGTGGTGTAGCTGGATGGTGTCAATTCAGGTGTAACTGAATCTGCAGAGAGATTATAATGTTATGTTAACTTTTAACTAATTATGATAACTTTGACCGAGGTCTGAATAATTCTTGATATTATGCGAAAGCCGAATCCAATAATGGTTTTATTACACATTTTAATTCTTCCTCGTTTTGTGTAGCAATCGAATCTACTGAACGCTATGATTATATTTGTTTTTGCAATTCTGAATTCTTAATTTCGCAGGCTTTTGCTGCCGCAGTGCTGCGTACTTCCGGTTGGATCGAAGTTCGATCAAAAAAAATCAACATCCATCGGTATGACGTCAGAACCGGTAAAATTATGAAATTTAACCGGATATTGAGATTTATTTGGAGCGTTTCGACCAATCAGAAACGAGAATACAGTATGAATGTATAATAATAATTATTATTTATTGTCGAGTGATTGAAAAATATTTTACTGTAGAATGAAAGCATCAAACTTGCACGTCTCCAAAAACAGCGACTCTTCGAACATAATAGTGTAAGACTCTTTAATCGATCGGCCTATGATATTGCGACAATTAAAGGAGATTTTTTACCTTTATTTTTAACCTCTTTATGTTCACAATGTACTCCAGCATCATCAAAATGAGTGCATTCCCCAACTTCGATATGGGGGTGGTAATAACAGCTTGTTATGTTTGGTTCTGTCCCATCGCATTCAACGATAAACATCGGCCCATAACCGCGAGGAACGCGAGAAAGCTCTTTACCAGTGCCCGTGTAACCAAGTTGACGGCAAATAACCTTAGCCTCGTCATTGAACCACCACTGGGGGTCACACACTGTTCCCCATTTTCCATAAAGGAACACTTCGACACGACCAATACCTTGCTCTTTCAATGGCCCTCTTAATCTGAGTGGCAAAGTCATGGCTGTAATAATTTATATAAAGTGAACGTTAGTCTTGAGCTCTTTTCTTGAATGATGATGTAAAACTCCAACTAATATAAGCCCTATGTAAAGCCCTATTATATCGATGGCTTTGCCCAAGGTATATATCATCCCGAACGGGTATGTAATACACTGGCGGTCAAAAAGAACTGCTCAAAACGAGTTAAATTGCTCTCAAATGAACGCAACTGTCCCTTTAACAATTTATACGAGTAAATATAGAAATATAGACTAGCTTTATGATTGAATTCCTTTCTTGCACTATCTCCTTGACATTGTCCACAGATTTTCAATAGGGTTAAGGTCTTTTGACTGTGCAGGCCAATCCATTTCTGTCACCCCCTCTTCCTGAAACCATTGTTTGACTATGTCTTGGAAGGGTGGCAGGTGCATTACATTATTGAAATATTGTTTGGAATAAGAGAATTATCCAAAATGCCTATGAAGCTCTCCCCTATATTCGCTTCTTTTTTATGAATTTGTATCTAAACAGTTCTTTTTGACCGCTAGTGTACAATAAAAGATTGATTGTCACGATTCCTGTTACATACGATAATAGCAACATTTGAGCAGTTCTTTTTGACCGCCAGTGTATATTTCATCAAATTCCCGAAGGAAAGATTTGAAAATTATATACAATATCAAATAACATGTTGGACTTTATAATTTCCCTCCGTTTTGGGATTTATGAAAGCTGCGCGAGGCATGCGTTGTACTGTACACGCAAGTTTAGGCTTATATTGGTTATATACGAATTATTGAATATTCGCTATAATTTATACATACGGTATGTTACCTATTGGTCGGTCGGAATAAAAATATTTTCTCGAGGTTTAAAGAAGGACTTACTCATTTTATGCCTGAAAAAACACACCAATCATCAACAGAAACCAACGCTATATGGATCTATTCATCGTGATTTCATAAGTATCACTTAAATGATTTTAAACTTTTATACATATGCATACGTGGAAAAAACGCGACAGTGGAAAACAGCTTTTTTTCAGAAAGTTTTCAATTCACACATTCAAGCCCCCTGTTTATATTTTTCACAATGTGCCGGCTGTATTTCACAGACACAACAAACTCTTTACATTTTGACAGCAGATTTAAGAATGAAATGCCAGCACTCTGTGCAACACTCTTCCCTTCCCGATTAACTTGCTTTACTTACAAAATTGAAAAACAAAACTGCATAGATCATCCAGGGCCTAACTAGACGATAATTGGTGGGGGGGGGGTATATTTATATATTCTTCTGCTCGACGGGTTTCTTTTGTAAGTGCAATAGCTTGCAATAGAAATCCGTCGGGCAAAACTGAATATATGAATAAACACCCCCCAATTATCGTTCTAGTTACGCCTGAATATGTATACTTACGGACAACTGCCACATCGAGTGAATTCTCGTTTTCGATCGTGTTCCTGAGCTACGCATTTATATATTCCCGTGTCAGTTTCACCAACATTTTCCAGCACCAATGTTTGTTCTTCTTTCTTCGTCTCCGTAATCTGTGTGTTTTCTTTATACCATGTCACATTAACAGCAGCGGTTCCTCCCTCTCCTCTGCACACGCATGTAAAGTTATCACCCTTATTCAACGTGATAGGACCGAAACAACTGAATATCACAGTCGGTCCCTCTGAGAATTAGAAAAAGAATTATAAATTTTGCATTCATTGAAGTTTTTTTTCCAGACAGAGGTGGCAATTGCTTTGCTGCTGTTACATTAAAAAAATTCTGTTAATTTTAAAACTTTTTTCAGTTTTATGTAATGGTAACATTTTCGGTTCCCTCGTGTACTGATTGCTCGATAAGCGAATTTCTATGAATCTACGGAAACACTGTTCTTTTACAGAGAAAAACATCGAATCGGTTTATGGCATTAGCTTTTGCATATAAATAGCATAGTAAATAATGCAGTTTAATTTAAAGGTAGACCATGTCGTAAATGTATAAAATAATTTTTCTACGTCAATATTTACAGTATATTTCACTGGAAATGTGAAAACAATATTCTTGCTGTAAATATTTACTGTAAATATATTATTATGGTAATATCCGTAGTCTGACCTTAACATATACCTATTATAATTACTTACAGTATAGTTTATTGCATAAAAATTACCTTTTGAAGAACACTGTACTCCTGCGTTGCTATCAAATTCAAAAGAATGATCTTCGAAACCTCCATGAGGACAGTCCAGTATATTACGTTCCTTCCCAGTACAAGCGACATTATCCAACCACGGTGCTGAGTTTTATCGGGATTATCGACGTCGACACCTAGTAAAGCCCTTTTGCATCTGGGTAACCCAGTTGACGACATACTACTCTGGCATCTCTCATATCCCATCCACTATCTAAGATAAACCCCCATCGTCCATTGTGGAAATCTCAATACTTCCTCCAAGACCATCGTATGCTACGTTCATCCTCACAGTTTCAGTTACCCCTAAAACAGCATACAAAAACCGTTAGAATGTGTTTAAACGGTTAATTGATCTACACGTCTTAAGCCTTTTTTGTATACTACAGTCAATTTATTGGCACGGCACGGCTAAATGTGTACGGTAACAATTTCATTTTAGCTCGGCCATTGCAATCTTATAGCCTGAACAGCGATTTATTGGCACGGCACCGCGGCTAAAATGGGTACCCGTGCCCATTTCATCCGTGCCCGGCATTTGTTTTGGTAGCGTGAACACTAATAAAATTTTTCATACAGCTACCCACTGTAGCGCTGCCGTGCCAATAAATTGACTGAAATGGCGCTTTAGTTTGAGTCCAGTCGTTGTAGAATTCCAGTATTAAATCCTGGCAGCGTATTCGAGTTAAGACATGCGTGCTAGTGTTTCAATACTGTAAACCATATTAATTGCACGCTGTTTTGGTCCTATTGATCTAAATTATAACAAAATAAACTTCTCATTCCTTTACACAACCCAAGATGGATGGGAAAAAGGGCAAAGTGATGGTGCACAAGGACAAATAGTTGCATTAAGTATTGAAGGATTCTTTCCTCGGAAGATCGCAGAAAAAGTGAGAATTTCAAAAGGTGTATGCAACTAACCTTGGAGAAATTCGAAGAAACTAAATCCTACTCAAGCAAGCTTTTAGCTGCTTCGGTCATGCTGGGTTTGGCAATATTGAAAGATATAATAGGATCCTAATTAAAGAAAAGTATCATCCAATTCTTCAAGGACATGGAATTTCATCTGGCACTTGTAAAGATGATCGCGCGTCTAACTATATGATATAATCACCCTAAACACATGTACATCTCCTATGTGCCAGAAATCTTTTAGAAGCACACTCGTTCTGGTGATCTCGTTCTCATGGCTTTCCACCTCAAATTCCAGATCTAAAACTTATGGAGCACTTGTAGGTCCGTTTTAAACGGAAAAGGGCGAGGCACAGACCCACCAGCCAGGATGACTTGAGGCAAGTGGTCGACGAATGCTGGCAAGGTATTGAACGTGCGACATTAAAAAACCTTTGGAATCTATATGCCAGCAAGAATAAAGGCCGTTTCAAAAGCAAAAAAGAGGGATACTAAGCATTGACAAGTAATGCATGCTTGCACATTAACATACGTTAAATGAATGCATAACATCCCATAGTTATTGTGCAGCATGTATTTTTCAGTTCACTTATTTACTTTTTCTAGTTCACATTTCGGTAAGGTTTTCTGTAGAAAATTAATATATGTTGCTAAAACAATGAAATACAGCCACTGGACTCAAACTTTTGCCTTCTACTGTACGGAACATAGTAGCTAAAACAAAACTCGTACCATAAAATGCTCTATAGAACACATAAATTGCACTTGGCTGTTCTTATTTTTTGTTAATTTTTTATGCCCAAGATATACATGTAGTCATTAGCCAGACAGGTCCAGAAATTATTATATTGTGCTCTAGTACAACTCTAAGAGCACACGCAGAATTTCTAGACTAACTGAACTACTTTTGTCCTTATATCATTGGCTAAGATACCAAAGGCACTTTTTTGTTATGATTTATTTAATTCAGTACGTTTATACCTGTTTTTCTACATGCTACTCCAGCATCTTCGCATTTGTCGCGATATATTCTGTAATTACAGCTTGCTATGTTTTTATGTTCCTTTTCACAAAAAATCTCATAAACCGGCACAGGCGGATCGTAACCTTTGGGAACGTTCCAAAAATTAAATTTATCAGAAACACCAAGATAACCAAGTTGACGGCAAAAAACCACAGTAAGGTCGTTATCATGATATAAATCACAAACTTTTCCCCATCTTCCATCAAGGAACACTTCCATGCGACCGGTACCATTTTCACTCGAAGGCCCCTTTAATCTGACAGGAAGCGCGGCTGTTAAAATAATTTATAAACAAATATCGTGAAAAAAGAAGAGTTTACCCGCCACAATGGGGGCAAACAACGAAAATTTTAGCATGAGAAAAATTAAGGCATGTAAGAAGGGAAAATGAGAAGAACTTAATTAGACCCCAGTATGGTGGATTTCCTCTATTCATATCTGCTAAATTAATTTCATTTCATTTTCAACGATGCTTCCAACATTGTTTCCATGCAGGGTATTTGCTCTGGCCACACATGAGAAGAGCGGGAATACCTTAACTGGAGACGAGGTTGCGATACTTGTATACTATCGTCGTTTCTTATATTTTAATTATTATTTCCATCAGTTATTCTGTGGGAAATAATTTATTTTAAAAATCAATGGCTTTGCCCGCCTGACGATTCAGTCGCGCACTGCAAATTTCAAGTTGTTGTGATTATTCATTGTTATAGAAATTAACTGTCAAGGCCCACCTTGAGAACTAAAAAAACGGAATACTATACGAAAGCAATAAAAAAGGTATTTTCCGAATTATCAGTGCTGATTCTCTTCAGTACTTGTACTGATTCTTGTTCGCTTTTTTCTGTTGCACTACGAATTTAGTATTGCTAATTGAAGCTGGAAAGCCTACATCACACGATTGAGTTTTAAATATTATAGTAAAATTCATATACACTTACGATGAACCTTCAGACTGATCGATTTGCGTTCTGTAAGATTGTGCCTTTGGACTACACAGCTATATATTCCATTGTCTTGTTCAACAACATTTCGTAACACCAATGTTTGTCTTTCACCAATCTCTGTTTCCATCCGCGTATTTTCTTTATACCACGACACGTTGGCTGCTGGGATTCCCCATTTTTACAAACACATGTCAAATTATCACCTTCGTCTGCTATGATAGCGCTGGAGCAGTTGATTACCGCAGTAATTCTCTCTAGATAATAATCCAAAGCAAGGTTTTTATCAGACAAGAGATAGAAACACAAGAAAATTAAACGATTGCATGTTAGAGGGTTAAAACCAACATGGTTTATCCTAGATTAATTCATCTACACTCTTGTCTAAAGCCTTTTAGATTTTTTAGGATTTCACACATTCAAGCTGTTCCTTTTTTATATTGTCGTTCTCTCTTTCTATTTTTCAAAGCTGGTCATGCAGTTGTATTTCACATGCACAGCGAGCTGGTTACGTTTTCGCGGCGTGCTGGATGAGAGATACTAGCATGCTGCGAAACGCTTCCAGCCAATCAATTGAATTTTGTTACAAAACACAAACTTAAAAAACTAAGCGCACAATCATAAAATATCCGTTACGAATGTCCTTACGGGGAAGTACCACATTAATTGATTTCTCGTCTTTTCGATCGTTGTCCTCAGCTACGCATTTATATATTCCCATGTCAGTTTCACCAACATTTTCCAGCACCAATGTTTGTTCTTCTTTCTTCGTCTCCGTAGTCTGTGTGTTTTCTTTATACCATGTCACATTAACAGCAGCGCTTCCTCCTTCACCTCTACACACACATGCGAAATTATCACCTTTACTTGGCTTAACCGGAGTGAAACAACTGAATATCACAATAAGTCCCTCTAAAAATTAGAAATAGATAAAGTAATAAGCTTTAGTAATTCATTTTCCATACGTATTGCAGGCAGGTTTAGTTTAGTTTAGTTTAGTTTGGTTTAGTTTAGTTTAGTTTAGTTTAGTTTAGTTTAGTTTAGTTTAGTTTAGTTTAGTTTAGTTTAGTTTAGTTTAGTTTAGTAGTTAGTTTAGTTTAGTTTAGTTTAGTTTAGTTAGTTTAGTTTAGTTTAGTTTTTTAGTTTAGTTTAGTTTAGTTTAGTTTAGTTTAGTTTAGTTTAGTTTAGTTTAGTTTAGTTTAGTTTAGTTTATAGTTTAGTTTAGTTTAGTTTAGTTTACTGTAAAAATATACCTTTTGAAGAGCACTGCACTCCTGCGTTGTGGTATTCCTCGTGAGTATAACTTTCGAAACCTCTTTGAGGACAATCAAATATATCACGTTCCTCCCCAGTACAAGCGACTTCATTCAACCACGGTCGAGATGTTCTGTCGAAATGATCACGATCGGTTCCTATCAAAATCCTTCTAGCATCGGGAAAACCGAGTTGACGACATACAACCCTACCATCTCTCATATCCCATCCATAATCTAAGATATATCCCCATCGTCCATCGTGGAAGATTTCAATACTACCAGTACCATTTGCCGCGTTTTCCCCATGTAACCTGACTCGTTTAGTTACCGCTAAAGCGATGTGAAAATACTATCAGAATTGTATTTAAAAATATTATAGTCTTATGTCACTATATTGTTTCATTTCTATATTCATACATAAAACCGTTCTCAAAAGTGATTTTCAAAATGGGAACGTAGCTCTTCGAAAGATTGCCAGTTAGCATGTCTAGCTGCATCTATGAGGAAAGCTATATAACCACGTTGTTTTATCTTATTTAAAATGGTCTATGTTCTGTTTTCCTTGAGAAGTAAAAAAAATAATAGTTTGTTGCATAATACTGCGCAGACGGAAATAAACGGTCTTTATAGATACTGAAGGCACTTTGTTGTATAGTAATTTATTTAATTTAGATTACGTTTGTACCTGTTCTTTTACATTCTACTCCAGCATCTTTACACCTGTCGTCGCCTTTTTTTCCGTGAAAACAGTTTTCTACACTTCGATCTCTTTTATTACATGTAAGTTCGTAAACCGGCCCAGGCGGATCATAACCTTTGAAAAACGTCGTATAATTAAGTTGCTCAACAGCATCCAGATAACCAAGTTCACGGCATACAACCCTAGCATCGATGAAATCCCAATCTTTATCACAAACTCTTCCCCACCCTCCATTAAGGAACACTTCTACACGACCAATACCATTTTCACTTGAAGGCCCCTTTAATCTGACAGGCGGGGTGGCTGTTAAAATATTTCATGAAAAACATTGTGAAAGTAAGAGCACAGTTATTAAAACACACATGGTTTGGAGACTAGATGGCAGTACAATACAACTCAGTATATATGTTATTGTTTACATGTCTATTGTATTTTTGCCCAACTATTGGTTTGGCTTAGCTCCTCAACCGTGACTTGAAGAACATGTTAATTCAGACCTTACTATTGGTTTATTTGTTCAAAACACATAGACACGTGACGAATAAGGAACATTTTTTGCATAAATGCTCCCCGACATAGTTAATAAGTTCTATTGTACTTTTATGTAGTCTCTAAACCATGTATATTCTATTAACTGTGCTAAGAGTTAGCTAATATCTTTTGATAACGACCTGGGGTTGGTTTTTTAAGACTAATTTACTTTTTTAACTGTAGTTAAGGACAGAATTGGCCAATCACAGTCGTGTATTTGTGAATTAATTATAGAATTTAACCATACAAAGTGTAGTTAAAGAGTTCTATTCTTTGAGCTATAATATAACTGGCCCCAGATGGCTTTTTAAATAACAAATTTTATTAATCCATCGTAATTATCGCTACTCTTATTTTAATAAATGAAAGTAGTCACCACACAAAAATTAACTTTTATGATCCAATTAACGTTTCGAGGAACGATTCAAAAGTCTTTACCACTGATGATCGTTATGGACGAAGGCGTTGTTTGGAAGCTTGGCATATTAATGCGAGTCTTTGTGCCCTAAATAGGGATGATGTAAGCTATTTGCCAAAAGAATATTTACATCTGATTGATAGATTTGAGAGTATATAATGAACTGAGTTTCAACATCAGATCACCCATGATAAAGCACTACACCGGAGTCTCGAAACGTTGGGTCGCGAAATGGATCTTTGTGTGGTGATAACTTTCATTTATTAAAATCAGAGTTGCGATTATTACGATGGATTATATACCTGGTTGCCTTGAACTCATTAGATTTTATTAAATTGCAACAACGTTTCGGAGTTTACTCCACTATCAGCTTACATTTACGCATTTAAATTTAATAGAATTTGTAATTAAGAAAGCTTCTGGTAGTTATTAAAAATATATTATACGAAACTTCACTTCTGGTGAAAAGGAGCTCTGTTATTGGCTGAGAAGAATTTTCAGCGAGTAGAATTTTCAGCGGGCCATTACTTTCCCGTAATGGACCGGCACTCTCCCGTAATGGACCGGCGATACATTACGAGATGAAAAACAAAGAAACTCTGAAGGAAAAAGGCACAAGTAAATGCGCAAGAGAAAATTTAATTTTGAAATTAATATGACGTCTCTAGACAGTTTAGGTAAACTAAATAATTCAATATTTTGTTTTTGTTTTTATCAAATGCGTACCAGCTAGGCTACTAATAGGAATTCATGCATTTCTTGTACATGTTTGTTTAAAGTGCAAATACATGCATTATGCAATATAATAAACTTTTTATTATTAACCTCGCTTGCTCGGTCTTTACCAAGAAATATCGGACCTCGATCTTTTTGTACAAATTAACCTCGCTCTACGAGCTCAGTCTGTACAAAAAGACCTCGCGTTTGGTTATTAAGCAGTTATTTTACATTTAAACGAGGCTTAACGAAAGTTCGTTCCAAGAACACATCGAAGAAGAGAATAAAAATAATTTTACTCACCACGATGGGCAAAAAAATAATTTTAGCATGGAAAAAAGAAGCAAGTAGGAACAGGAAACGACTAGTAAATTGATTTCTCAAAACAAACAGACAGGGTTTCCAGTCAGACTAGGAATATACCAATCTACAGTTCCACTTTTAATACTCATAATACAACCTATTAATTAAATCAACGATAATTAAATATTTTTTTATTATACTTACGACGAATCGTCACTTGAATTGATTTGCGTTCTGTAAGATTGTGGCTTTGGACTACACAGCTGTATGTTCCATTGGCATTTCTACCAACATTTCTTAGCAGCAATATTTTTCTTTCTTTATTTATCTCGGTAATCCGTGTGTTTTCTTTATACCACGACACGCTGGTTGCTGGGACTCCTCCTGCACCTAGACCTCTACATGTACATATGAAATCGTCACCTTCTTTCACATGGGTAGGAGTGTAGCAAAAGATTAACACAGTTATTCCCGCTAAAAATATAACCAAAACAAGGTTTCAACCAGACGTTAACAAGACAGAAGAAATTTATAGTGGTACGAGTAAAATTGTGCAAACCTATATATCTATTCGGCAGGTATAATTACAAGTCTATATCTCATAAATGAATTTAAATTCTTTACGTCATGGGACAGTGGTTTTGCCTCATGTTGGTATGTATGTCTCAGTCAGTCTCAAAGGGCCAATATGCATGCATAGCTTGCCCTCCTTTGGTCTCTCTAGTAATCCTACTACCCGATCATGTTGCTCGCCAGAAATATATATGTTGTCAAGTGAAAATAATTATTTTTACATTAAAAAATTACAATGTTCTCTAAAATTTATGAATATAATTATGCAAAACGTTTTCTTTCCTGCTGAAAAGTCTAATTACCGTTACTGTCGTGCAAAATAACTCAAAGAGAACTAGATAGAGCTAGCGTGACAGAATATGTAAGCCATTTTATAGCTATATCGTGTTGATAAAGTTCCGCCATTTTCTATCTTTTGGGCGTGTCTGGTGTTTGTAGCTATGGTAACTTTCACATTCATACAACTCGCCTAGCTAGTAAAATGGATTCAATATAGGTCTTAGTTTTATCCAAGGTAAAAGATTAGTTTGATTAGTGGACCTGCTTAATATTAATAAATTTATTTTTTAAAAAATTAATTTAGCTAGTGGAACCCCATAATAATAAATTTACCTGTCAAAGAACATTGTACTCCCACGTCTGTATAGTGCAAGCAAGAATTTTTTCCCCATCCTGGATGAGAGCATTTTGAAATATATCTTTCATCTCCGGTACAAGCGACCTGATTTAACCATATAGGTACATTATACCATCCAAATGGAACTTGGTGGTGATCTATTGCATGTGTAGACCTAATGGCATATGGGTAACCAAGCTGACGACATGCAACAGTACTATCTTTCATATCCCATTCATGAAAACAGATTGTCCCCCAGGTTCCGTTGTAAAATACCTCGACACGACCGATGCCTTTTGCACTGGATGGCCCTCTTAATCTGAGAGGTGCTTTTATTCCTGTGGGATTAGTAATAATATATACTACGTTTACACGATGCCAGCATAATTTGAAAACGGTGCAAAAATTGCAGCGATTCGAAAATGTTCCGCTTACGGCTGCCGGTGCAACATTATAATTGTTTGTCATGTGGCCAATATCAAAATCCAATAAGATTTTATATACAATAAGATATTATTGCATTACTGCCAGAAAACATGACACCGAAAAGAGCTAGTAGAAATAGAAAACCGAAGGACACCCTAGTCAGAGTAATTTTACATGGAGTGGATTAATTACTAATAAGTCATTTAGTCACTATCTTACCAATCTTCCAGGATAGGAAAGTTTTCCCGCTTTGCTGTATACACAGCTAGTTATGTTGTTAAAATTATATTAATGAAAAGAACTGTGCACAGGCATCCAAATTGGAAAATATCCATTTCTCTATTTAATCCGTCGTAAAAGTTAACGACACAAGCGTTTGCACGGTACTGGTTAGTGTTCCGTTTTCGTACTTCGCCGATAAGTACTATATACGTTTTCATTTTGTGCCGCTCCCGTTTCAATTTTTGCCGGTATCGTGTAAACGCAAGACCGAGACGGCATAATGTAATAGCGGCATAATGTAATACCTGCTTAATGTAACCGTTTCCAAATGAAAAGGGCATCGTGAAAACGGGGTCTTCGTGATAAGTTGGGCACTCAGCCATACACACCTCAAAATGTTCCGACTTGAGTGCGGGATGTGTATCTAGTTGTACCTTTAGACCTTTTCTCATTAATTATTGCAAATAAACACTCGCAGCTGGCAACTGCTGCTTGGAATTGTTAATAGGGAGCTTGGCTATCACCACGAGTGCGATAAATACTCGTCATTTGCAAAATTCGTCATTTGTGCGCTACCCCTCGGCTCTGTTTTCTTACGCCATCTGGCGAAACATCTTAGTCGATGAAATTATTGCATAATCTTGAAGTTTTCAGCGATGGCGTATGCTAGCAACGCCCAAGAATAACAAATCTCGTAGTTGTATAGCTATGTTCGTGGTCATGCCACTAAAGCTCTAATTCTGCATGTACTCTAATAGAAAAACAATAAACAAAACCACTACTAAATTCTCTTGGCCCTATAATCTAATAATAATTAGTCATAAAAAATAGAATAAGTCGACTTTTAAATTAATTTGAATTGTTTGATTAGATGATATTAGCAGTCAAGTTAAACCCCGATTAAACGGGTTATACGCATGCGTGTCAGGGTTTAGGAACTGAATTGAATTATGTGATTAAATTATATTAGCAGTCAAGATAACCCCAGATTAAACTGGTTATACGCATGCGTGTCAGGGTGTAGTAATTAGTCATGCATCTACGGAACTGTTTCTCAAACTGCTATTATCAGAGTTTTGTGCGGGCATATGGACTTCGGTTCGAGAATGTATGTATGTATGTATGTATGTAAAACCTTATTTAATGACGCTAGCCTTGTCAACAAAAGTTGGTTTCCACAAGGGGCGTCCATAACACAATAGAATATTTACAAAGAGATAATAATATATGTACATAGCTATTTACAAAAGAGAAATGTGGCATGGAGATCCAAATTAGAGCCTTGTGCGACCCACATGTAATTTGTAACGTTTTCGACACACCGCTAAATATGCTGTTTGTCAGTTTTTAATATGATCATTTTAAATGTCGGGTTAAATTTCTAAGCAAACAAGGATTCTCAATGTCTAATATCGCTTCAACTCTTATAACCATGCGATGATAATCGTTGAGATGAAATGATTTCTTTGAATGTAAGAAAAAGTGCCTCGTTTTGAACCCCTATACCCACGTCGATGAAGATGTTTACCACGCAGCAGATACAATTTTGTAGTTCTTGAGAAATTGCAGGCGACGAATCTTGTTTCATATTCTCATTATATTTATATATTGTATGTATAGATATCGAAAAAATCCCTTTTGCGTAATTGTGGAATATCTTAATTATAGACATAAACATCTTACCTTTACATCGCTCTGGGACAAAGTACAACGCGCATAATACGCCTGTGATAAAGACGAATGATTGCATCATTCAAATAACGAACTCAACTCTAACATGGCATGTGTTGATGATATTTTACTGCTTAATATTTGCAGACATGCAGATTTCGATATCTTCGACAAAAATATTGATCACCCGTGCAACCGCTCATTGTTTACCTCAGCGGGGTGTGCGAGGCTTGAGACCGCATTGATATATGCTTTACCCCATAGGATTAAACTTTTATAGCGATCATTACACTCTAATACAAGTAATTATAATAAACACCGCGTCGCTCAGTAATGCCCTTCAAGTATATATAGTGTCACACATAAACTGAAATTTGTAAGTTCGTATATCAAAAACAAAGAAATGTTATCACAGACTGATACGAAACAAAGCAGAAAGGTCGTGTCCACGATCCGCGATCAAAAGACTGCTTCTTTCTGGTTCCTTTCATTTTTCGGCGATACATAAACCTTATGATATCTTACACAATCTTAAAGCTCAATTGGTTCTTAATCTTTAACCTGCCGAATGAAGTAAACTCCGAAACCTTTCATCTAAAACTTTCTGCACGTTAGTGAAACGTTGCATAGCTATTCATTTCAAGTCAATAAAGAAGTTCTTATAGTTCTATAACTATATACGAACCGAATGATATTTTAGCCACGTTTTGCTTCGATGGAGTTGAAGTGGAAATCATAATAGAAGTTTGAACCCGTTTGAACCCCAGCAATATTCGTTGGATAGAGAAAAGATTAAAAGGGAAAAGGCTGAGAGAGCAAAGTGGAGGCATAGTTCTGGAAACGTTGTAGAAAATGGTGTTACGAAATCAGTTGTAGTAGCTTCGGAGCGAAGAAGTCTTCCTGAAGAAATTGAAATGAATCAAATTCGGGGTGGTGAAACAAGACGTGATAATCAATTGCGATATGTGCATATATGTCTGTGCCGCCCGTACGCGTTACTTATCAAAGGAGTATGCTTGAGTGCTTCTATTTCGTTTCAATTTCAGTGTTATCTGCACATTAAAATAATATTTTATGTTATAACATTAGGGCACGCTTCGCGCTTTGAGCTGCGTCGCAAAAGTTGGAGCTCAGTTTTATTCCTTGTGAATTATCTTTTTTCTGTTATGTTTATAGGCCGGTTCATTATTTTCGTGCAACTAATATGTGATAATTACTCTCTATTAACTTTAATATTTCGTGATAAAGAACATGCATATGCCATATTCAAGTAATAAGATATCTTGATTTGAAGAATAAACTAATTCTAGTAAACTAATTATCCAAATTTATACGAGAAATTTCTAAATGGCTGCATCAGCTTACGAAATGCATTGAACCGCAGTGTTTAATTCCATGCACGTTTACGATAAAGATGACTAGCTGTATGTAAATTTACCCACAAACTGACAATAAAACATCCAAATGGCATTTTCTTTGAAAAACATAACAGAAAATACCATGTGTTTTGCTCAACTTAGTATTAGTTCAACTTTTCTGTTGCCAATTCGTTTTTCGTATTAATTCCCGTAAGATTCATCCCTTCCTGCATGGTTGTGGTAACTTTCACGCTGTGAGAATTCCAACAACGATTCCGGGAACCAATATTGGCACAACAATGGTATACATACCACTCCATTGAATTTTTAGATTTGACGATGTCGGCATTTCCTGAGAATTGAAATTCCATGTTTAAGAACACGAAATAAAGAAGTATAAAGTACCGAGGTATGTAGTAAGTTAGGTAAGTTTGTAAGTAAAGTTTGTGATTTCTATGAAATGGGCGGAATAATAAAAGGCGGAATTGAACCGACTATGCTCTAGAAATGAAGATGAGTAATCAACCGTCTCAACAAAAAAGCTGTAAATTTATTTTTCTTAAATAGCCGGTGATAATAGTCGGTGATTAGTGCGATTTGCTAATCAGAACGCAGCATTGGCAATATTACTGAATTCTTACTGATTACCAGGTAACTTCATTCGGATTTTTTTCGATTTTACTTCATAGTTCTATGGTAACTCTAAGAGACAGAATGAAACCATGTTTTTGAACTAAAAGTTTTTAAAGGGTCTTAATTTCGAGTTGAATCATACACAACTATTTTCAAGCCAGGAGCAGTTGAGAAAAATTAGTCAATTATCCGTCTTCCGGCAGGAATCGAATTGACCTACATCGAGTGAAGTGCCACAAAATCATAATTGATTTACGCTCACCGTGTCTTTGAACACCTTTCCACTACAGCTGTATACCGTAGTAAATATTTTTCACACAACCAAAATCCGGTTGTATAGTACTTGTATAATACGACTATGAGAATGAGGCATTCGGTTAAAGTACAAAAAATCAAATATAAGGTGTAAGAAAGTAAAATTTCTCATCTAATGCATATTTGGAAACTCTTTTGGGCTATGTTTGGAAATTGTTATGTGCATCGTCTGAGGGGTGTGGATTATAACATCATGATGGCTTCTTACCAAGAGTGTTACAGTGGATTTGCGTAACCCTGCAGTAGTGTTTTGCGAGGTTTTGGGAGTACTATCGTTCAATGTTATGAAGTGACTATCCCCAAGACGTTCTGTGGAAATAATTTCATCAGAACAGGCATGGAACTGTGAAAATACCTAAACCTAATACAAACAAAAAGAATTAAGTTAAAAGATAGTGAGATTTTAACTTAAAAATCCGGGACTTGAATTTTCCCCCTTATCGGCATACTCCCACATTTTGGCCTGGCTCTCTCAGTCCATCTTATATATAAAGATCAGTGATATAACAACAAAAATAACTTTTGCGTTCGACGAATGAAAATGTCCACTTTCTTGGGTATACAGATCCTTTATGGAGAAAAGTGTGATACCTTTTTTTTATATCTAGCTTAGTAGGTTTGTGGGCTCGTTTCTGTACCTTGATTCTGTTAATTAATGCCTATTCAAAATACCCACGAAATGTGGGTATTTCAAACGGCCGATCACAAGGCCTTTCCTCTTCTCTCCTCCTCCCAGCCCCAACCTCCCTATAAAGTCACAGAAGGCCCTGGGAACGAGGTTAGCTATGACCGCACTCATCCTTGTCTCAATACGCTGCGTAATAACAGCTTTTTATGTTTTGCTCCATGCCTTCGCAATTAACTAAGTAAGACGGTCCATAACAGTGAGGAACGTATCCCAAATCAATTCGTTCAACATTGCTGGGTATAACCAAGTAGACGGCATACGTCCTTGGCATCCTTTAAATCCCAGTCTAGGTCGCAAACTGTTCCCCCTTTTCTACAAATTAATGAATACCTCGACACGACCAATACCTTGCTCTTTCCTTGGCCGTCTTAATCTGAGTGCAAAGCAAGGCTGTATGTTAAATTCAAACCTATTATAATTTTAGGTATACTTACCCAATACCCCTAAGTGGTTCCCTATAATGGCCGACGCGGACATGAGGCATTTTTTGCCGCCTCAAAGAACAGGCATATTTATTTCAGAATTTTTGAATGTTAATAGCTATCGGTGTTATAGCAAATTGTGATATACATCGATTCATGGTACCGTATCCTTAGATAAACCCAATTTTTCCCACCCTGGACACAAGTACAAAATCGTTGCCCGCTCAGAAAGTCGAAGCATGAATATTTTCGTTAAAACAAAACTTGGATATTTCCCTCGAAGGCATGGATGCATTAATATTAACAGTTAGGGAGGATATTTCCTGATATTCATCGAATTCATCGATCTGATCACAGCTCATATAAATTATACATGATATCGAAACAATCATATTGCGGCCTGTGTATATTCTTAAGTTTTCTTATATAGTTAAGTTTTCTTAAATTGCTATAGTTAACATTCATTTAAAAATTAACCGTTTTATTCGGCCAAATTAAGTTAAAGAAAAGCAATAACACGAGTTCATGTAAATTTTACTGTAAACCTACTGGAAAAATAGCAAGTAAATACTTAATTGACGTTATTATACATCGCAAAGAAAATTGTTCAACCAAATATCAGTTGATCATTTTCGTCCTCTGCATCTGCTGCCAAATCACTTTTTTTTGTTTTAAATCCCGTAAGATTCATCTCTTCCTGGTTGTCGTAAAAAACACGACGACGACAATAGATAATGATCGCCGTGAGAATTCCAACGACAATTCCGGGAACCAATATTGCCACAAATATAATATACCACTCAATTAAGTTTGCAGATTCGTCGGTATCATCAGAGTTCCCTGAAAATTGAAAACCCATGCAAGGATATTAAATTTTGTCAAAATAGCACCTGATCAACTACAGCATTCAAATATTTACACGTGATGTAAATTAGATCATGATCATTGGTCAAAATTCTACATTTTCTATTTGAAAATGGCAAAGTGTTTACCATGTTTATTAGTAAACAATTTACATTATAAACTGGCCAATAGACAATAGTATAAACTCTGTGTATTATATTTTGTAATATTAAATTTAAAACATGACAAAATAAACAGAAGACAGGGTTGTTGAAGCTACAGATTATCTGGTGAAAAAAGCACTGTCACACTGATACATTAATCAGCGAACCCCAATTATCTTAAATAATTTCAATATCAAAACACCCTGGCATATATTGCAATAAAAAGCATGAATTAGAGGCACTGGGAGCGCTCTATATAAACATGTAAATATTTTATTTAATTCACCGAATACCGTTATTTGCGCGCGCAAAAATCAAACATTTGATTTTCCTTTTGAACTGGCGGATTTGTAATACACGAACGGTATGTGGCTTCCGCAAAAACATCTATTGAAAGACTGCATTCGTCGAATCTCTGCAGTTAGTGCCATGCAGCGTTTAAAACTAAACCGAGGATAAAATATATAAACAGCGGAATGAACAGATCGGCCAAAGGTTAACTCTGTAGTTACATACATATTTACCTTCAAATTGCGCACAATATAATCTTCAAAACCCATTTCCACCTACTACTCTTTTAATCCGTCAATTGACTTTTACATCTTTTTGGCTTTTAACGTCCAGCGCAGATAATTCAACAGATTCTAGCGCACAACAGACTCTGCGACTTACCAGTTACGCATCAGGAACCAAAGACTATACAATTCATACATTCGCCGTGCTTCCACTACGCAAATTATTCACTTTACTCTTTTACTCGTGAATTGTGTAAAATTACTAGCAAATGATCATGTTGAGTAATTTTACTCAATACTTGAGTAAAACCGTTAAACTGAAGCATTCATTTTACTCAGACCTTGAGTAAAATGTAATTGCAAATAATCAGTTTACTCAATGTTTGAGTAAATTATCAAGTTTTATCGTAAAATTGAGTTATTTTACTCAATTTGAGTATATTTACTCGTTTTGTTGAGTATATCATCCTAAGTTACTCAAAACAATTTACTCAAACATTCGCGTAAACACTTTACTCAAAATTTTGAGTGGAACGCCCCGATATTCGCGTAAATCTACGCATGAATCGAGTAAAAAAAACGTTTTACTCAACTTTTTGAGTAATTTTACTCAATACTTGAGTAAAACCGTTAAACTGAAGCATTCATTTTACTCAGACATTGAGTAAAATGTAATTGCAAATAATCAGTTTACTCAATGTTTGAGTAAATTATCAAGTTTTATCGTAAAATTGAGTTATTTTACTCAATTTGAGTAGCTATATTTACTCGGTTTGTTGAGTATATCATCCTAAGTTACTCAAAACAATTTACTCAAACATTCGCGTAAACACTTTACTCAAAATTTTGAGTGGAACTCCTCGATATTCGCGTAAATCTACGCATGAATCGAGTAAAAATAACGTTTTACTCAACTTTTTGAGTAATTTTACTCGAATTCAAAAACACTTTTTGCAGTGTAATCTGTACAAGAATTGCATGCAGCCGACGATCATAATGATTCGTTGCACAAAAGTGCAAAATTCTAATAATTTATAACCTTTTATTAAAATACATTAATTTCTTACCTATGGCGCTTTTATGGTCTACATTTGAGCTGTGTTTTAAAACTGTCGTCGTGTGCGTCTTGTGGGGTGTTTGGATTATAGTATCGTGATGACTTTTTCTAAGGGTGTTGGTTGCTGTAGATTTATAGAGCCCAGTTGATGTCTTTGGAATGCTGAAGGTCTTAGATACGGAGTCGTTGTTTTCAAAACGGTCTATGGAAATGCTCTGCTCAGACCAGGAAGATCTGTATATCAAAAATGATGAACTTTCGGAGCCTTGAACTTTATAGGTGTTGCCAGGGTGATGTTTTACAGTCATATTATTTGACACTGTAGGACTGAGATTCAAAACTGTTACGTTACGCGTCTTTTCTGTACTGGCAATATCACTATGGAGATAGATATTCCCAACAATTGTCTTTGAAATAGAGTTATATGAAACCGTGGCATTTGAAGGTTTTATTACAGTATGTTTCTTTTCCATGTGAATGGACTCACTACTGAAACCACCGTCTCCACGATCGTGTGTCGTGGTTGCAACGTATGATCCTAAAGGACTATAATTCAGAGCAGTTGTTGTATCCATCCTGTGTGTACCAGCGACTCCATTTTCGTTAAGGATTGTGGTGTAGCTAGATGAAGGTGTCAATTCGGGTGTAACTGAATCTGCAGAGAGATTATTTAACAATTAGTCGCCGAAGGCGAGGTGATTACAAGCCTATATTCACTGAGCCGAAGGCGAAGTGAATATAGACTTGTAATCACCGAGCCTGAGGCGACTAATTGTTTTAGTATAATTTCAGTATTGAAAAAGTTTTATTTATAAATACAACTGATACACGTGTTTATTTTATGAATATAATTTTGATTTTGAGTATTTTCAGCCATGTTTTTTTTGGGGAAAAGCAATAGTTACTGCTCAAACTGCTCTGAGCAGTAACTATTGCCTCAGAGTTACTGCTGAGGGAGCCAATCAGAATGCTCAAAGGCCATTTTTCAATACTGAAAATATACTAAAATGTTATATTAACTTTTAACTAATTATGATAACTTTGACCGAGGTCTGAATAATTCTTGATATCATGCGAAAGCCGAATCCAATGGTCTTATTACACATTTTAATTCTTCCTCGTTTTATGTAGCAATCGAATCTACTGAACGCTATGATTATATTTGTTTTTGCAATTCTGAATTCTTAATTTCGCGGGCTTTTGCTGCTGCAGTGCTGCGTACTTCCGGTTGGATCGAAGTTCGATCCAAAAAATCAACATCCATCGGTATGACGTCAGAACGGGTAAAATTTTTAAATTTAACCGGATATTGAGATTTATTTGGAGCGTTTCGACCAATCAGAAACGAGAATGCAGTATGAATGAATAATAATAATTATTATTTATTGTCGATTGATTGAAAAATATTTTACTGTAGAAAGCATCAAACTTGCACGTCTCCGAAAACAGCGTCTCTTCGAACATAATAGTGTAAGACTCTTTAATCGATCGGCCTATGATATTGCGACAATTAAAGGAGATTTTTTACCTTTTTTTTTAACCTCCTTATGTTCACAATGTACTCCAGCATCATCAAAATGAGTGCATTCCCCAACTTCGATATGGGGGTGGTAATAACAGCTTGTTATGTTTGGTTCTGTCCCATCGCATTCAACGATAAACATCGGCCCATAACCGCGAGGAACGCGAGAAAGCTCTTTACCAGTGCCCGTATAACCAAGTTGACGGCAAATAACCTTAGCCTCGTCTTTGAACCACCACTGGGGGTCACACACTGTTCCCCATTTTCCATAAAGGAATACTTCGACACGACCAATACCTTGCTCTTTCAATGGCCCTCTTAATCTGAGTGGCAAAGTCATGGCTGTAATAATTTATATAAAGTGAACGTTAGTCTTGAGCTCTTTTCTTGAATGGTAATGTAAAACTCTAACTAATATAAACCCTATGTAAAGCCCTATTATATCGATGGCTTTGCCCATGAGATTGAGGTATATATCATCCCGAACGGGTATGTAATACACTGGCGGTCAAAAAGAACTGCTCAAAACAAGTTAAATTGCTCTCAAATGAACGTAACTGTCCCTCTAACAATATATACGAGTAAATATAGAAATATATACTAGATTACATGCTAAGCTATATGAAATATTAATATTTTGTTGACCCTCCTTTGGCCTTATAATTGATAGCGGCCTTACACCGGCGTGGCATACTTTCTGTTAAGGTAGTAATCTTAACGGTCAAAAGAAATTCATCCTATGGACAGTCTTTACAGCAACGGATAAATCATAGACGCTTTATGATTGAATTCCTTTCTTGCACTATCCCCTTGACATTGTCCCACAGATTTTCAATAAGGTTAAGGTCTTTTGACTGTGCAGGCCAATCCATTTCTGTCACCCCCTCTTCCTGAAACCATTGTTTGACTATGTCTTGGAAGGGTGGCAGGTGCATTACATTATTGAAATATTGTTTGGAATAAGAGAATTATCCAAAATGCCTATGAAGCTTTCTTTTATATTCGCTTCTTTTTATGAATTTGTATCTAAACAGTTCTTTTTGACCGCTAGTGTACAATAAAAGATTGATTGTTACGATTCCTGTTACATACGATAATAGCAACATTTGAGCAGTTTTTTTTGACCGCCAGTGTATATTTCATCAAATTCCCGAAGGAAAGGTTTGAAAATTATATACAATATCAAACAACAAGTTGGACTTTATAATTTCCCTCCATTTTGGGATTGTTAAAAGCTGCGCGAGGCATGCGTTGTATTGTACACGCAAGTTTAGGCTTATATTGGTTATATACGAATTATTGAATATTCGATACGGTATGTTACCTATTGGTCGGTCGGAATAAAAATATTTTCCCGAGGTTTAAAGAAGGACTACTCATTTTATGCCAAAAAAAACACACCAAATCATCAACAGAAACCAACGCTATGTGGATCTATTCAATCGTTGATTTCATAAGTATCACTTAAATGATTTTAAACTTTTATACATATACATACGTGAAAAAACCGTATCTTGTGTTTTTTTCAGAAAGTTTTCAATTCACACATTCAAGCCCTCTGTTTATATTTTTCACAATGTGCCAGCTGTATTTCACAGACAAAACAAACTCTTTACATTTTGACAGCAGATTTAAGAATGAAATGCCAGCACTCTGTGCAACACTCCTCCCTTCCCGATTAACTTGCTTTACTTACAAAGTTGAAAAACAAAACTGCATAGATCATCCAGGGCCGTAACTAGAACGATAATTGGGGGCGGTGGGGGGGTGTATATTCATACATTCAGTTCTGCCCGACGGGTTTCTTTTGTAAGTGCAATAGCTTACAATAGATATCCGTCGGGCAAAACTGAATATATGAATAAACACCCCCCCCCCCCAATTATCGTTCTAGTTACGGCCCTGAGATTATCTGTTATGTGTACTTACGTACAACTGCCACATCAAGTGAATTCTCGTCTTTTCGATCGTGTTCCTGAGCTACGCATTTATATATTCCCGTGTCAGTTTCACCAACATTTTCCAGCACCAATGTTTGTTCTTCTTTCTTCGTCTCCGTAATCTGTGTGTTTTCTTTATACCATGTCACATTAACAGCAGCGGTTCCTCCCTCTCCTCTGCACACGCATGTGAAGTTATCACCCTTATTTAACGTGATAGGACCGAAACAACTGAATATCACAGTCGGTCCCTCTAAGAATTAGAAAAAGATTTAAAATTATAAATTTTGCATTCATTGAAGTTTTTTTTCCCATCCAGACAGAGGTGGCAATTGCTTTGCTGCTGTTACATTAAAAACATTCTGTTAATTTTAATACTGTTTTCAGTTTAATGTAATGGTAACATTTTCGGTTCGCTCGTGTATCCTGATTGCTCGATAAGCGAATTTCTATGAATCTACGGAAACACTGTTCTTTTACATAGAAAAACATCGAATCGGTTTATGACATTAGCTTTTGCAATAAATGCATTGTAAATAATGCAGTTTGATTTAAGGTAGATCATGTCGTAAATGTATAGAATAATTTTTCTACGTCAAATATTTACAGTATATTTCACTGGAAAAGTGAAAACAATATTCTTGCTGTAAATATTTACTGTAAATATATTATTTTTTTATGGTAATATCCGTAGTCTGACCTTAACATATACCTATTATAATTACTTACAGTATAGTTTATTGCATAAAAATATACCTTTTGAAGAACACTGTACTCCTGCGTTGCTATCAAATTCAAAAGAATGATCTTCGAAACCTCCATGAGGACAGTCCAGTATATTACGTTCCTTCCCAGTACAAGCGACATTATCCAACCACGGGTGCTGAGTTTTATCGGGATTATCGACGTCGACACCTAGTAAAGCCCTTTTGGCATCTGGGTAACCCAGTTGACGACATACTACTCTGGCATCTCTCATATCCCATCCACTATCTAAGATAAACCCCCATTTTCCATTGTGGAAAATCTCAATACTTCCTCCAAGACCATTGCGTGCTACGTTTATCCTCACAGTTTCAGTTACCCCTAGAACAGCATACAAAAACCATTAGAATGTATTTAAACGGTTAATTGATCTACACGTCTTAGCCTTTTGTAAACTACAGTCAATTTATTGGCACGGCATGGCTACAATGGGTACGGTAACAATTTCATTTTAGCCCGGCCATTGTAATCGTATAGCCTGAACAGCGATTTATTGGCACGGCACCGCGGCTAAAATGGGTACCCGTGCCCATTTCATCCGTGCCCGGCATTTGTTTTGGTAGCGCGAACACTAATAAAATTTTTCATACAGCTACCCACTGTAGCGCTGCCGTGCCAATAAATTGACTGAAATGAAATGCTTTAGTTTGAATCCAGTCGTTGTAGAATTCCAGTATTATATCCTGGCAGCGTATTCGAGTTAAGACATGCGTGCTAGTGTTTCAACACTGTAAACCATATTAATTGCACTCTGTTTTGGTTTTATTGATCTAAATTATAACAAAATAAAGTTCTCATTCCTTTACACAACCCAAGATGGTTGGGAAAAAGGGCAAAGTGATGGTGCACAAGGACAAATAGTTGCATTAAGTATTGAAGGATTCTTTCCTCGTAAGCTCGCAGAAAAAGTGAGAATTTCAAAAGGTGGTATGCAACTAATCTTGGAGAAATTCGAAGAAACTAAATCCTACTCAAGCTGCTTCGGTCATGCTGGATTTGGCAATATTGAAAGATATAATAGGATCCTAATTAAAGAAAAGTATCATCCAATTCTTCAAGGACATGGAATTTCATCTGGCACAAAGATGATCGCGCGTCTAACTAGATGATATAATCACCCTAAACACATGTACATCTCCTATGTGCCAGAAATAATTTAGAAGCACACTCGTTCTGGTGATCTCGTTGTCATGGCTTTCCACCTCAAATTCCAGATCTAAAACTTATGGAGCACTTGTAGGTCCGTTTTAAACGGAAAAGGGCGAGGCACAGACCCACCAGCCAGGATGACTTGAGGCAAGTGGTCGACGAATGCTGGCAAGGTATTGAACGTGCGACATTAAAAAACCTTTGGAATCTATGCCAGCAAGAATAAAGGCCGTTTCAAAAGCAAAAAAAGAGGGGTACTAAGCATTGACAAGTAATGCATGCTTGCACATTAACATACGTTAAATGAATGCATAACATCCCATAGTTGTTGTGCAGCATGTATTTTTCAGTTCACTTATTTACTTTTTTCTAGTTCACATTTCGGTAAGGTTTTCTGTAGAAAATTAATATATGCTGCTAAAACAATGAAATACAGTCACTGGACTCAAACTTTTGCCTCCTACTGTACATAACATAGTAGCTAAAGCAAAACTCGTACCATAAAATGCTCCATAGAACACATAAATTGCACTTGGCTGTTCTTATTTTTTGTTAATTTTTTATGCCCCAGATATACATGCAGTCATTAGCCAGACAGGCGCAGAAATTATTAAATTGTGCTCTAATACAATTCTAAGAGCACGTGCGAAATTTCTCGACTAACGGAACTACTTTTGTCCTTATATCATTAGCTAAGATAAAAGGCACTTTTTTGTTATGATTTATTTAATTCAGTACGTTTATACCTGTTTTTCTGCATGCTACTCCAGCATCTTCGCATTTGTCGCGATGTAATCTGTAACTACAGCTTGCTACGTTTTGATGTTCCGTTTCACAAAAGACCTTATAAACCGGCACAGGCGGATCGTAACCTTTGGGAACGTTCCAAAAATTAAGTTTATCAGAAACACCAAGATAACCAAGTTGACGGCAAAAAACCACAGTAAAGTCGTTATCATCATATAAATCACAAACTCTTCCCCATCTTCCATCAAGGAACACTTCAACGCGACCGGTACCATTTTCACTCCAAGGCCCCTTTAATCTGACAGGAAGCGCGGCTATTAAAATAATTTATGAAAATATCGTGAAAAAAGAAGAGTTTACCCACCACAATGGGTAAACAACGATAATTTTAGCATGAGAAAAATTAAGGCATGTAAGAAGGGAAAATGAGAAGAACTTAATTAGACCCCAGTATGGTGGATTTCCTCTATTCATATCTGCTAAATTAATTTCATTTCATTTTCAACGATGCTTCCAACATTGTTTCCATGCAGGGTATTTGCTCTGGCCACTCATGAGAAGAGCGGGAATACCTTAACTGGAGACGAGGTTGCGATCACTGTAAATTATCGTCGTTTTCTTATATTTTAATTATTATTTCCATCAGTTATTCTGTGAGAAAATAATTTATTTTAAAAATCAATGGCTTTGCCCGCCTGACGATTTAGTCGCCCACTGCAAATTTCAAGTTGTTGTGATTATTCATTGCTTTAGAAATTAATTGTCAATGCCCACCTTGAGAACTAAAAAAACGGAATACCATACGTAAGCAATACAAAAAGGTATTTTCCGAATTATCAGTGCTGATTCTCTTCAGTACTTGTACTGATTCTTGTTCGCTTTTTTCTGTTGCACTACGAATTTAGTATTGCTAATTGAAGCTGGAAAGCCTACATCACACGATTGAGTTTTAAATATTATAGTAAAATTCATATATACTTACGATGAACCTTCAGGCTGATCGATTTGCGTTCTGTAAGATTGTGCCTTTGGACTACACAGCTATATATTCCATTGTCTTGTTCAACAACATTTCGTAACACCAATGTTTGTCTTTCACCAATCTCGGTTTCCATCCGCATATTTTCTTTATACCACGACGCGTTGGCTGCTGGGATTCCCCCATTTTTACAAACACATGTCAAATTATCACCTTCGTCTGCTATGACAGCGCTGGAGCAGTTGATTACCGCAGTAATTCTCTCTAAATAATAATCGAAAGCAAAATTTGAGATAGAAACACCAGAAAATTAAACGATTCCATGGTAGAGGGTTAAAACCCGTATACATGGTTTATCCTAGATTAATTCATCTACACTCTTTTTTACGATTTTTTTTACGATTTCACACATTCAAGCTGTTCCTTATTTTATGTTGTCGTTCTCTCTTTCTATTTTTCAAAGCTGGCCATGCAGTTGTATTTCACATGCACAGCGAGCTGGCTACGTTTTCGCGGCGTGCTGGATGAGAAATGCTAGCATGTTGCGAAACGCTTCCAGCCAATCAATTAAATTTTGTTACAAACACAAACTTAAAAAACTAAGCGCAGAATCATAAAATATCCGTTACGAATGTCCTTACGGGAAAGTACCACATCAATTGATTTTTCGTCTTTTCGATCGTGGTCCTCAGCTACGCATTTATATATTCCCATGTCAGTTTCACCAACATTTTCCAGCACCAATGTTTGTTCTTCTTTCTTCGTGTCCGTAATCTGTGTGTTTTCTTTATACCATGTCACATTAACAGCAGCGGTTCCTCCTTCACCTCTACACACGCATGCGAAATTATCACCCTTACTTGGCTTAACAGGAGTGAAACAACTTAATATCACAATCAGTCCCTCTAAAAATTAGAAATAGATAAAGTTATAAGCTTTAGTAATTTATTTTCCATACATATTGCAGGCAGGTGGTAGTTGCTTTGCGTCTTTTAAAAATTGAAAGAGTAATTGAATTGAAATTATTTAACGTAACGCGCGTTCTGATTGGTCAAGAGGACTTTAAACATTTAACGTAACGCGCGTTCTGATTGGTCAAGAGGACTTTCCATAATTGTATAAAAACATGGAAATATATTTTCCATATTATTTCTTTTATAAACAGTACTTGCACAGTTGTATAACTGGTGGTTTATCAAGCGCATGTTATATTGTAAATCCACGCGTGAAAGTATTTTCACTAGAATAATATTTACAGCAGATATTAAGGTGAGAAAAACATTATAAGGATACTGTTTTTTTTAACAGTAAGTGTCTTTTGTTTCACCTTAAGAGATAGCTAATGTAAATATTTACAGTAGTAAGATTTCGGTGAACCTTACTGTATATATTTACAGTTTAGTTTAGTTTAGTTTAGTTTAGTTTAGTTTAGTTTAGTTTAGTTTAGTTTAGTTTAGTTTAGTTTAGTTTAGTTTAGTTTAGTTTAGTTTAGTTTAGTTTAGTTTAGTTTAGTTTAGTTTAGTTTAGTTTAGTTTAGTTTAGTTTAGTTTAGTTTAGTTTAGTTTAGTTTAGTTTAGTTTACTGTAAAAATATACCTTTTGAAGAGCACTGCACTCCTGCGTTGTGGTGTTCCTCGTAAGTATAACTTCCGAGACCTCCATGAGAACAATCAAATATATTACGTTCCTCCCCAGTACAAGCGACTTCATTTAACCACGGTCGAGAGGTTCTGTCGAAATGATCACGATCGGTTCCGATCAAAATCCTTCTAGCATCAGGAAAACCGAGTTGACGACATACAACCCTACCATCTCTCATATCCCATCCATAATCTAAGATATATCCCCATCGTCCATCGTGGAAGATTTCAATACTACCAGTACCATTTTCCGCGTTTTTCCCATGTAACCTTACTCGTTCAGTTACCGCTAAAACGATGTGAAAATACTATCAGAATTGTATTTAAAATATATTATAGTCTTGTGTCACTATATTATTTCATTTCTATATTCATACATAAAACCGTACTCAAAAGTGATTTTCGAAATGGGGACGTGGCTCTTCGAAAGATTGCCAGTTACCATGTCTAGCTGCATCTATGAGAAAAGCTGTATAACCACGTTGTTTTATCTTATTCAAAATGGTCTATGTTCTGTTTTCCTTGAGAAGTAAAAAAAATAATAGTTTGTTGCATAATACTGCGCAGACGGAAATAAACGGTCTTTATAGATACTGGAGGCACTTTGCTGTATAGTAATTTATTTAATTTAGCATACGTTTATACCTGTTCTTCTACATTCTACTCCAGCATCTTTGCACCTGTCGTCGCCTTTTTTTCCGTGAAAACAGTTTTCTACACTTCGATCTCTTTTATTACATGAAAGTTCGTAAACCGGCCCAGGAGGATCATAACCTTTGAGAAACGTCGTATAATTAAGTTGCTCAACAGCATCCAGATAACCAAGTTCACGGCATACAACCCTAGCATCGATGAAATCCCAATCTTTATCACAAACTCTTCCCCACCCTCCATTAAGGAACACTTCTACACGACCAATTCCATTTTCACTTGAAGGCCCCTTTAATCTGACAGGCGGGGTGGCTGTTAAAATATTTCATGAAAAACATTGTGAAAGTAAGAGCAAAGTTATTAAAATATACATGGTTTGGAGACTAGATGGAAGTACAAGAGAATTCATTATCTATGTTATTATCCAGGTTTATGCAAGAAATGGTTCCTTATCCGTCACATGTCTATTGTATTTTTGCCCAACTATAGGCTTGGCTTAGCTCCTCAACCGTGACTTGAAAAACATGTTAATTCAGACCTTACTATTGGTTTATTTGTTCAAAACACAATAGACACGTGACGAATAAGGAACATTTTTTGCATAAATGTTCCTCGACATAGTTAATGAGTTCTATTGTACTTTTATGTAGTCTCTAAACCATGTATATTCTATTAACTGTGCAAAGAGGTAGCTAATATCTTTTTGATAACGACCTGGGGTCGGTTATTTAAAAGACTAGTTTACTTTTTTAACTGTAGTTAAGGACAGAATTGGCCAATCACAGTCGTGTATTTCTGAATTAATTATAGAATTTAACCATGCAAAGTGTAGTTATAAGAGTTTTATACACTGAGCTATAGTATAACTGGCCCCAGATGGCTTTCTAAGTAACAAATTTTACTAATCCATCGTAATTATCGCTACTCTGATTTTAATAAATGGAACTAATCACCACACAAAAATTAACTTTCACGATCCAATTAACGTTTCGAGGAACGATTCAAAAGTCATTACCATGCACTGATGATCGTTATGGACAAAGGCGTTGTTTGGAAGCCTGGCATATTAATGCGAGTCTTTGTGCCCTAAATAGGGATGACGGAAGCTATTTGCCAAAAGAATATTTACATCTGATTGATAGATTTTGAAAGTATATAATGAACTGAGTTTCAACATCAGATCACCCATGATAAAGACACTACACCGGAGTCTCGAAACGTTGGGTCGTGAAAGTTAATCTTTGTGTGGTGATAACTTTCATTTATTAAAATCAGAGTATCGATTATTACGATGGGTTATATACCTGGTTGCCGTGAACTCATTAAATTTTATTAAATTGTAACAACGTTTCGGAGTTTACTCCACTATCAGCTTACATTTACGCATTTAAATTTAATAGAATTTGTAATTAAGAAAGCTTCTGGTAGTTATTAAAAATATATTATTTACGAAACTTCACTTCTGGTGAAAAGGAGCTCTGTTATTGGCTGAGAAGAATTTTCAGCGAGTAGAATTTTCAGCGGGCCATTATTTTCCCGTAGTGGACCGGCACTCTCCCGTAATGGACCGACGATACATTACGAGATGAAAAACAAAGAAATTCTGAAGGAAAAAGGCACAAGTAAATGCTCAAGAGAAAATTTCATTAATTTTGAAATTAATATGACGTCTCTAGACAGTTTAGGTAAACTAAATAATTCAATATTTTGTTTTTGTTTTTATCAAATGCGTACCAGGCTACTAATACGAATTTATGCATTTCTTGTTTGTTTAAAGTGCAAATACATGCATTATGCCATATAATAAACTTTTTATTAACCTCGCTTGCTCGGTCTTTACCGAGAAATATTGGACCTCGATCTTTTTGTACAAATTAACCTCGCTCTACGAGCTCAGTCTGTACAAAAAGACCTCGCGTTTGGTTATTAAGAAGTTATTTTACATTTAAACGAAGAACACATCGAAGAAGAGAATAAAAATAATTTTACTCACCACGATGGGCAAAAAAATAATTTTAGCATGGAAAAAAGAAGCAAGTAGGAACAGGAAACGACTAGTAAATTGGTTTCTCAAAATAAACAGACAGGGTTTCCAGTCAGACTAGGAATATACCAATATTCAGTTCCACTTTTAATACTCATAATACAACCTATTAATTAAATCAACGATACTTAAATATTTTTTTTATTATACTTACGACGAATCGTTAGTTTAATTGATTTGCGTTCTGTAAGATTGTGGCTTTCGACTACACAGCTGTATGTTCCATTGGCATTTCTAGCAACATTTCTTAGCAGCAATATTTTTCTTTCTTTTTTTATCTCGGTAATCCGTGTGTTTTCTTTATACCACGACACGCTGGTTGCTGGGACTCCTCCTGCACCTATACCTCTACATGCACATGTGAAATCGTCACCTTCTTTCACATGGGTAGGAGTGTAGCAAAAGATTAACACAGTTATTCCCGCTAAAAATATAACCAAAACAAGGTTTCAACCAGACGTTAACAAGACAGAAGGAATTTATGGTGGTACGAGTAAAATTGTGCAAACCTATATATCTTTTCGGCAGGTATAATTACAAGTCTATATCTCATAAATGAATTTAAATTCTTTACGTCATGGGATAGTGTTTTCCCCCTTTTTTGGTATGTATGTCTCAGTCAGTCTCAAAGGGGCTGTATGCATGCATAGCTTGCCCTCCTTTGGTCTCTCTAGTAATCCTACTACCCGATCATGTTGCTCGCCAGAAATATATATGTTGTCAAGTGAAAATAATTATTTTTACATTAAAAAATTACATTGTTCTCTAAAATTTATGAATATAATTATGCAAAACGTTTTCTTTCCTGCTGAAAAGTCCCATTACCGTTACTGTCGTGCAAAATAACTCAACGAGAAATAGATGGAGCTAGCGTGACAGAATATTTTAAGCCATTTTATAGCTATATCGTGTTGATAAAGTTCCGCCATTTTCTATCTTTTGGGCGTGTCTGGTGTTTGTAGCTATGGTAACTTTCACATTCATACAACTCGCCTAGCTAGTAAAATGGATTCAATATAGGTCTTAGTTTTATCCAAGGTAAAAGATTAGTTTGATTAGTGGACCTTCTTAATATTAATAAATTTATTTTTTTAAGAATTAATTTGACTAGTGGAACCTTATAATAATAAATTTACCTGTCAAAGAACATTGTACTCCCACGTCTCGATAGTGCAAGCAAGAATTTTTTCCCCATCCTGGATGAGAGCATTCTGAAATATATCTTTCATCTCCGGTACAAGCGACGCGACTTAACCATATAGGTACACTACCCAATCCAAATGGAACTTGGTGGTGATGTCTTGCATGTGTAGACCTAATGGCATATGGGTAACCAAGCTGACGACATGCAACAGTACTATCTTTCATATCCCATTCAAGATAACAGATTGTCCCCCAGGCTCCGTTGTAAAATACCTCGACACGACCGATGCCTTTTGCACTGGATGGCCCTCTTAATCTGAGAGGTGCTTTTATTCCTGTGGAATTAGTAATATTATTTATAAAATAACATGTATATAACGCGTGTTCTGATTGGTTGAAGCCCGTGTTTACATCAGGCCATCCAAACACGGAAATTTCGCGGGAATTTAAAAACAATTTTTTTATGGTTTGTTATTTTATAAAACAATTACCTAATGGTTTCCGAGTTTGGATGATCTGATCCAAACACTTGGGAATGTTGCTCGAGTTAAGAAAAGCTCGCAAAACACTCGCCTTCGGCTCGTGTTTCGCGCGCTTTTCTTAACTCTCGCAACATTCCCGCGTGTTTGGATCAGGCCATCCAAACACGGAAACCATTAAGTAATTGTATAATACTACGTTTACACGATGCCGGCATAATTTGAAAACGGTGCAAAAACTGCAGCGATTCGAAAATGTTCCGCTTAGGGCTGCCGGTGCAACGTTATAATTGTTTGTCATGTGGCCAATATTACAATCCAATAAGATTTTATATTCAATAAGATATTTTACATTACTGCCAGAAAACATGACACCGAAGTAGGACACCCTAGTCAGAGTAATTTTACATGGAGTGGATTAATTACTAATAAGTCATTTAGTCACTATCTTACCAATCTTCCAGGACAGGAAAGTTTTCCCGCTTTGCTGTATACACAGCTAGCTATGTTGTTAAAATTATATTAATGAAAAGAGCTGTGCACAGGCATCCAAATTGGATAAAATCCATTTCGCTATTTAATCCGTCGTAAAAGTTAACGACACAAGCGTTTGCACGGTACTGGTTAGTGTTCCGTTTTCGTACTTCGCCGATAAGTACTATATACGTTTTCATTTTGTGCCGCTCCCGTTTCAATTTTTGCCGGTATCGTGTAAACGCAAGACCGAGACGGCATAATGTAATAGCGGCATAATGTAATACCTGCTTAATGTAATACCGTTTCAAATGAAAAGGGCATCGTGAAAACGGGGTCTTCGTGATAAGTTGGGCACTCAGCCATACACACCTCAAAATGTTCCGACTTGAGTCAGGGTTTTTTTTAACGTGCAGTTCTACACAAAATGTGCAGTTCTAAACCAATTTGTGCATTTCTAAAAAAAAAATTGTGCAGTTGAAAAAACTGACTCGCGAACTTTCAGATCTAAGATATAAATTTAATAAATGGAAACTTTTATATTTCAGTTCTTATTGACTTCCTAGTAAATTTTAACAACAACTAAAATGTTTTCTTCTTTTTTTTTGCTGGTTCTTTTTCTTCACAATCCGCCAAATTCTCTTTCAGTTGAAGCTTCGGAAAATATTCCCTTGAAATATTGCTGTTGTTTTCCTTTTGGACGATCTCGGGTGCGACGTGCTCTTTCATTCATCCAATTCATCACAGCTGGTTTAGGATCCCATTGATCCAACGGTGGCATGTTATAATGCACATACAAATTGAGATTTTCGGTTTCAGGAAGCATTCGAGAACGACCAGACGACTTCAGTGCCACACTGCAGCTGATCAGGCGTTCTACATCTGCGCTATGTGGCTTAGCTGCAAGGATCCTTGCAAATGCAACTTTCAAGTTAGGCAGCTCGTCGGATTGGACAAACCTTTGGAATCGTTCTCTTAATGATAGTTTTCTAAAATCTTCTATATCTTCCATACTAAGAACATCATCAAATTCCATACCAAGTTCCATTAAGTCTAGGTCTTGAAAGAATTGCTTGTGAACCTCCATACACACCTCAAAATGTTCCGACTTGAGTCAGGGTTTTTTTTAACGTGCAGTTCTACACAAAATGTGCAGTTCTAAACCAATTTGTGCATTTCTAAAAAAAAAATTGTGCAGTTGAAAAAACTGACTCGCGAACTTTCAGATCTAAGATATAAATTTAATAAATGGAAACTTTTATATTTCAGTTCTTATTGACTTCCTAGTAAATTTTAACAACAACTAAAATGTTTTCTTCTTTTTTTTTGCTGGTTCTTCTTCTTCACAATCCGCCAAATTCTCTTCAGTTTTCGAAGCTTCGGAAAATATTCCCTTGAAATATTGCTGTTGTTTTCCTTTTGGACGATCTCGGGTGCGACGTGCTCTTTCATTCATCCAATTCATCACAGCTGGTTTAGGATCCCATTGATCCAACGGTGGCATGTTATAATGCACATACAAATTGAGATTTTCGGTTTCAGGAAGCATTCGAGAACGACCAGACGACTTCAGTGCCACACTGCAGCTGATCAGGCGTTCTACATCTGCGCTATGTGGCTTAGCTGCAAGGATCCTTGCAAATGCAACTTTCAAGTTAGGCAGCTCGTCGGATTGGACAAACCTTTGGAATCGTTCTCTTAATGATAGTTTTCTAAAATCTTCTATATCTTCCATACTAAGAACATCATCAAATTCCATACCAAGTTCCATTAAGTCTAGGTCTTGAAAGAATTGCTTGTGAACCTCCTTCAAATCTGCTGACTGCTGCAAATTTACAAATGGCTTGAGTAGATCAATATCATCGTCTTGGTTCAAAAACCTTTGGGTCAAAAATTCTTTCAGAGACTCAATGATCTCATTCTTAATTGCATCAATGTCCCTTGTGTCAGTGACGTAAAGATGGTGAATTTGTCGACGATGCCTTGCATTTCCACAGTCTAATTCAACTTCTTTTAAAGACACGGTTCCATCTTCTTCCTCCGATACTTGCTCGTTTAGTGCTTCAACCCATCCACCGAGGAGAGCCGTTTCTTTTAATCCTAACACCTTTGCTTTCACCTTCGATGTGTATCTGTCCATGTCAAGTAGTGTTGTTGAGTCCGACTGTAGCTGTTGCTGGTATCGTGAAAATACAGCAAGCAAATCTGCAATGAAGGTCAGCAGGTCAAGATTGGATTTCTTTGTTAAAAAGACAAGAAACCTCCAGCTTCTTTCTCATTACTTTTTTTGAAATAGGCAACAAGAGCACGCCAAGATCTTAAGACCACTTCAATTAACGACGATGTGAATTCTGTCCAACGCACTTCGAAGACGCGAGGTAATGATAACACGCAACAGCGCTCAGCATTTGCAGCATCAGTAAGTTCTCGTGTCCGGATGCCAGATGCATGGAAAAATGTGGATATGCTTGAAAGCTGCTGAATTAAATGATTTACTTCCTGAATTGAGTTTGTGACAGATTTCCATGCCAGCTGCGAACGGTGAGCAGCGCACCAAATTTTAATCATTGGTGTTGGTACTTCATCGTCTAACGGATGGTTTAAATCCCGATCAATCAAAGCCCAAAGACCATTTTTTTCTCCAGTATTTACTGATGCGCCGTCAGTGACAAAAGAAGAAGCACGCTGAAACACTTTCTTGCTTTGATTAAGCAAAACATCTTCTTCATCTTCGGTATCTTCGCCAAGGGTTGCTGAACATGCTGAAAGAATAGCTTTATGAACTCCAACTGCTCCTCTTTCTTTGGGCTCTTCTGCGCCGAGAAAGATATTGTCTTCTTTTCCGTCTCTATATATAACTTTAGCCATTAAATATATCTTATCTATCTGCGTTCTATCAACCGATCCGTCACATCTTAAGGAGATGGCTAACGAATTTGACATCTTGGAAGCAAGTGAATTTCTATCTGACTTTACAATACATTTGAGGAATTCTCTGTGTGCATTTGGTGAAAGGTATTGGAGATCATTAGGCATGTCGTTTATACTCCAATCATCAAAAGAAAACGCATTGGCTATCCGACTTACAACCACACGTGAAGGAAACGAATTGGCAGACAAAGTAAGTCTCTTAGCACCATGGTAAACGTGAAAAAATAGGCTACCAATTTTCGCAGCCAATTGTGCATCTGCAGTCGATAATGCCCTTCCAATTGGTGTCAGTGACGTAATGTGAACCTTTTCTGGTCCTTTTAAAGAAAACAATCTCTTTGTCTTTTTTGCTTCACGATGAATCTCAGTGTTCAGGTGGTCGGAAACAATGCTTTTACGGTATATAGTCCCCGGTTCTTGAGCAATCGCTGGAACTTTAGCTCTCCTGCTGAAAATCCTGACCACATTGGGGTTGGAAAAGCATGTCTCACAACGTACATAGTGGCGACCATTCTTGTGAAAGTGTTTCACATCATCCTCTTTCTCTGATATTTTTGCAGTTCCACTTGGTCCTTGATCCTCAACTTCCTTATTCATTTCATTATAATTTTAAAAATGTTATATATATATACAAATTCGCATCTGATTTAATATCGAAAAAAATATTACAAAAGGCGCGAACATTGGGAATCCCATCTAATCCAATCTAGCAATGGCCAACTGTATACATAGATCCCATTTATACCCTATAATATCCCATCGTTTCCCTCTAAAAACAAATATGGCGGTCGTATTGCGAGTGGTATTTGCAATTCAAATAAGAGAAACAGTCAAACAGCGGTGCTCACTGGAGTTCGAAAATACCGGTATAATTTAAATTTCTAGTTTCCTACATGATTTTTTTCTATATAACTTTCAAGGAATTAATTATAACAAATCTACAAATTTAACTGCAAGTTGTATTGAACTTTAACTGTTTGGTATGCTACTACAAAGACAAAATGTGCAGTTCTAAATTTTTCTTAAAAAAAACCCTGACTTGAGTGCGTGAAATGTATCTAGTTGTACCTTTAGACCTTTTCTCATTAATTATTGCAAATAAACACTCGCAGCTGGCAACTGCTACTTGGAATTGTTAATAGGGAGCTTGGCTATCACCACGAGTGCGATAAAAACTCGTCACGTGCAAAATTCGTCATTTTATGCGCTACCCCTCGGCTCTGTTTTCTTACGCCATCTGGCGAAACTCGTAGTCGATGAAATTATTGCATAATCCTGAAGTTTTCAGCGATGGCGTATGCTAGCAATGCACGAGAATAACAAATCCCGTAGTTGTATAGCTATGTTCGTGGTCATGCTACTAAAGCTCTAATTCTTCATGTACTCTAATAGAAAAACAATAAACAAAACCACTACTCAATTCTCTTGGCCCTAATCTAATAATAATTAGTCATAAAAAATAGAATAAGTCGACTTTTAATAAATTAATTGAATTGTTTGATTAGATGATATTAGCAGTCAAGTTAAACCCCGATTAAACGGGTTATACGCATGCGTGTCAGGGTTTAGGAACTGAATTGAATTATGTGATTAAATGATATCAGCAGTCAAGATAACTCCAGATTAAACTGGTTATACGCATGCGTGTCAGGGTGTAGTAATTAGTCATCTACGGAACTGTTTCTCAAACTGCTATTATCAGAGTTTTGTGTGGGCATATGGACTTCGGTTCGGGAATGTGGCGTGGGGATCCAAATTAGAGCCTTGTGCGACCCACATGTAATTTGTAGCGTTTTCGACACACCGCTAAATATGCTGTTTGTCAGTTTTTAATATGATCATTTTAAATGTCGGGTTAAATTTCTAAGCAAACAAGGATTCTCACTGTCTGATATCGCTTCAACTCTTATAACAATGCGATGATAATCGTTGAGATGAAATGATTTCTTTGAATGTAAGAAAAAGTGCCTCGTTTTGAACCCCTATACCCACGTCGATGAAGATGTTTACCACGCAGATACAATTTTGTACTTCTTGACAAATTGCCGGGGACGAATCTTGTTTCATATTCTCATTATATATTGTATGTATAGATGTCGAAAACAAATCTCTTTTGCATAATTGTGGAATATCTTAATTATAGACATAAACATCTTACCTTTACATCGCTCTGGGACAAAGTACACCGCGCATAATACGCCTGTGATAAAGACGAAGAATTGCATCATTCAATCAACGAATTCGACTCTAACATGGCGTGTGTTGATGATATTTTACTGCTTAATATTTGCAGACATGCAGATTACGATATCTTCGACAAAAATATTGATCACCCGTGCAACCGCTCATTGTTTACCTCAGCGGGGTCTGCGAGGCTTGAGACCGCATTGATATATGCTTTACCCCATAGGATTAAACTTTTATAGCGATCATTACACTCTAATACAAGTAATTATAATAAACACCGCGTCCCTCAGTGCGGATGCCCTTCAAGTATATATAGTGTCACACATAAACTGAAATTTGTAAGTTCGTATATCAAAAGCAAAGAAATGTTATCACAGACTGATACGAAACAAAGCAGAAAGGTCGTGTCCACGAACCGCGATCAAAAGACTGCTTCTTTCTGGTTCGTTTCATTTTTCGGCGATACATAAACCTTATGTTATCTTACACAATCTTAAAGCTTAATTGGTTCTTAATCTTTAACCTGCCGAATGAAGTAAACTCCGAAACCATTTATCTAAAACTGTCTGCACGGTAGTGAAACGTTGCATAGCTATTTATTTTAAGTCAATAAAGTTCTTATAGTTCTATAACTATATAAGAACCGAATGATATTTTAGCCACGTTTTGCTTCGATGGAGTTGAAGTGGAAATAATAATAGAAGTTTGAACCCGTTAAGAAATTCTACAACCTTTAGCCTGAAGTTAAAATTGTGGCAAAAATGTTCGAAATTGTGATGTTCAGTTATATTGAAACAAGGTGAAAAACAATATCGAAACAAGACGCCAATTCTGGCGGTTACTGCGTCGCGCGCCAATCGTTGCTTGCAACTGTGCCCCATTTCCTGTCAATATTTATTCCTTTAGAAAAATGTTTCTTTCTTAGGGTTTCTAATAAATAGAGCACTTCGTACAGAATATAAGGGTAAAACTGCATTATTAGTGCTAGGCATATGTAGCTAACGATATACGTGAATAAGGCTGAGTTTGGAATCATGTACTCTGGGAATCAGTTTGTACTGAAATTCAATAGGATCGGTCTGGCCGTTTTTACCCTTGAAAGGAAGGTGCGGTTTGATTGAAAAATGGCATAGAATGGCATACAAGGCTTTCATAGCATACAAGGCTTTCATGGCATACAAGGCTTTCATGATTCATGTGATCGTTGTCTGTAAACCCGTTTTAGTGTAGGTTTACCATGATCAGTGTGTGCTAGTGTATGCAGAGTGAGCATATCAAACAAGACAAGAATCCAGCATTATGATTACCTGCACGTATTTTCTCGAACGACAGACGTCTAGATTTCCTGCGCTATCGGCCATTCACAGCGACTCGTGTACGTGTTATTTTATATGACGTGTATCGTGCATGCAGTTTCCTGCTTTTGGTTCGCACGACACGAGTTCGAATCCCGGCGACAACAAACTTTTTCAATTTTTTGTTTTAGTAAAATATTTCTTTTGTGGGGGTTACTAGGCTAATATTACTATTTGAAGTGTGTTTAGCAACAAAATATTTCAATACGAAATCAAACGAGTTCAAAATACGAGTATCTTAGTTGGCCTGCACGGCCAGGAAGACCGGGTCGAAAACGTAAAAAACACAAAAAAAAACAAAAACACCGACGGCAATTTAAGACTGCGTTCGCGCAGTGCGCGAATTGTTTACATGAAATTCAGATGAGCGCCATGCAAAGCACGACCTCTATATTGTGGTTGTCTTAATGAAGCATTATGGTCTTGACTGTATAAAGATGCATTGAACTGCATCCGTTCTACGTTCACTGATAACTTCATAATTATTTTGCAAAATCCACGAAATTCTATGATTATGGATGCTTGTAGATTTTTCTGTTGCTTTACCTTTGCAATTTTATGACACTAATAATAATAAAATAATCGTACAGTTAAGGATTTAATAGTATACTCGTGATGTTTGAAAATTTTGCCAAATTCGATGCAGTTAATTACAGTTTATTATTACTCGCAATATTAGAATGCATTCTAACCTACAAAGAAACAAGATTTTATGTTTTAGACATTGTACATTGTTTACCACTTTACAAAGCTCAAATTATATAAGCCGATCTGTGTCGTCCCCTACACCTACTAGTGATTCACTGTTTTCGCCATTCATCTTTGCCAGATTTATCTCTTCTCGGACTCGATCAGTTCTTTGTTTTTTTAAAGAACGACGATAGCAATAGAAGACGAAACAAGGGACAAAAATTCCAGCGACAATTCCTGGAACCAATATTGCAACAACCACAATTTTCCATTCAATTCCATTTTTTGTTGATTTGATGCCATGAGTACTTTCTGAAAATTGAGAGGCCATGAATAGATATTAGATCGCAAATTTTCAAATCGAGACTTTAAAACGAAACTGTTTACTTCAGTTAACATCTTACCAATCTCGGAGCTCTTTATTTTCGAGACACTTGTTGGTTGCACTGGAATTCAAAAAAGAAAACCGGTTTATAATAATTGATAATCATTGTATCAGTAAAATGAATATTTTCTTACGAGCGATTTCGGCCAAAGCTCTTGGAGCTTCCTCCAAATTGATCGGCTGCAATAGACTGGTGTGAAAAGGTTGAACGTTTTTCCAAAACTGTTCTGATAAACGTCGTATGTGAACTGTGGACAAAAGTTTCGTAATTACTGCTCCAAAGATGTCTCGTTGGTACAAATCTACTACGCGACGCAGTAAAACTAGATTTCAAAACTCTTGTTGGGTAGATCTTGTGAGAGGTAACATCTTCAGTTTGGAATTCGATTTTTCCAGATGACGCACTATTTTCAGTCGATGAAGTTGGAGTATATTTCATAATTGTTGTATCATATCGCTTAGAAGGACTTATGACAACAACTTTAGTAGTCGCGCTCTGGATTGTCGTGTAAGGTGGTGATGTTGTTAAAACCTTGTCTGGATAAAAAAAGTATTGTTAAAAAATGCTCTCGGTTACCTTCGTGCAATTTATGTTACGTACCAAGTACCAGAACTTCGATTGATTTTTCATCTTTTAAACGGTTGCTTAGGGCTACACATTTATATATTCCTCCGTCAGTTGGAACAACATTTTGCAGGACTAGTTTTTGTTCCTCTTTTCCTGTCACACCAATCTGTATGTTTCTTTGTACCATTTCACACTGGCAGAAGGAATCCCTCCTTCACCTCTGCACAGACATGTGACCTTATCACCTTGATGCACCGCGATTTGACTTGGACAGTCTATTCTCACATTTGGTTTCTCTGAAATGTAATAAAATACAAGTTTTATTCAATGGATTCATCACATATATGCACGAAACATGAAACGCATAAAATAGTATTTTTTCAATTGGAAACCTGATGCCGTTGTGTGTTATTTCTTCGTCGAAATCTTTACCTGTTGTAGCACATTGAACTCCGGCGTCTTCGGAATGTGCGCAATTACTATTTCCCCACCCAGCATTTGAACATTGAGTTAAATTTTCCTCTCCTCCCGTACAATCAACCTCAGTGAGCCATATTGGTCCCGAGCCAGAAATAACTTCATTTCCTTGTAAGGACTTAAAAGCATCAGGATAACCAAGTTGACGACACACAACCCGAGCATCCTTTATATCCCATCCATCATCACAGATTGTTCCCCATTGTCCATTGTAGAGCACTTCAATACGCCCAGTACCGTTGGCACTTGACGGCCCTTGTATTCTGAGAGACACGGTTATTGCTGTGAAAACGTTAATGTGAATGTTTACAAACTTTATGTATTCAGTCATAAATAATAATTATAGTTACTCTACCTGTTGAAGAGCATTCAACTCCTGCATTTTCGTGAGACCCGCAATCCGTGCTGCCCCATCCGATGTGAGAGCAATCTGCAATGTTTTGCTCTTTTCCAGTACAATCTACTTCATCTAGCCACATCTTTCCAGAACCAGATGGAACCTGGTTCTCATGAAGAGCACGAATAGCATCTTCATAACCAAGTTGATGACATACAACCCTAGCATCTTTTGTATCCCATTCATCATCACAGATTGTTCCCCAGGTTCCATTGTAGTACACTTCAACACGACCAGTACCGTTCTCACTGAATGGCCCTTTTAACCTTAACGAGGCGGTTATCGCTGCAAAAAGGGGAAAAGCTTTGTAGTAAAACCACATGCCTTTTTCAAATTCGCATGTTGCCCCCACCCCCCAAAAGTTTTTCTTTCAAATACCCGCGAGTTCTGAGGCCTTGCACCGAAATTGAATTTACCTCTTCTCGTACATTCAACCCCAGCATCTTCATAATCTTGGCAACGGCTATTTCCCCACCCGACATAAGAACAATTTGCCAAACTACGTTCTATTCCTGTACAATCGACATCCTCTAGCCATATGTGTCTATTATCGAAATGAACCTCGCCTTGTGGCAGAACTCTAACAGCATCCATATAGCCAAGTTGACGACATACGACCCTAGCGTCTCGCAAATCCCATCCATTATCACAAATTGTTCCCCAGGTTCCATTGTTGAGTAATTCCACTCGACCAATACCATTTTTGCTCGATGGTCCCCGTAACCTGATTGGTACAGTAATAGCTAAAAAAATTAAAAGAAATTTAGTGAAGATGGGGAAATACGTTACCCCCGGGATAACAATGGTTCTATCAGGGTGAAAAGCCAAAATTAAGTTTAACATAGAATTGCCACAGTTACAAGACTAAACAGTTACAAGACTAAAAAATGTCACTGGTAAATGGCATGTTCAAAATCGACTTGCCAAGAACCATTGATTGCCAAAGAAAACAAAACTTATTCATATGTGACTGCACCTGATGAAGAACATTCTACTCCAGCGTCTTCGTAGTGTGAACAATAATTATGTCCCCAACCTCCACGTTGACAGTTGTCCAAACTTTTTTCTCTTCCTGTACACACGACGTTATCTAACCATATCGGTCCGGAACCAGGTGATACCTGGCTTCTTGCTAGAGTTCTGGCGGCGTCTGGGTAACCCAGTTGACGACATACAACCCTGGCATTTTTTGTGTTCCATGTATCATCGCAAATTGTCCCCCATTCGCCATTAAAAAACACTTCAACACGACCTGTACCATCCTCACTCAATGGTCCTTTTAGCCTCACCGGTGGAGTATTCACTGCATGAAAATGCAAATTGTAAAATCAAAAATGAATACTAAATGTTTTCCTTCAACTCGAAAAGTTTGACTCTTGCAAGCCTACACCTTACAACTGCGATTGTCGCTGTGATTGGTGAATTGGGATTACACATGACTAAGTTGAAACTAAAATGTTAAATTATCTACTTTTATCTTTAAAATCTGCACTGAAAATCCTGCAAAACTAAGTTTGCTCTAAGTTGGGAACTAAAATATACAGAAACTGTATAGCCCTGTAAAGATATTTGCCAATGAAATATGTATGTGTAGTCAATGATAAATGGTATGAAAACATGGTATGTGTAGTCAATGATAAATGTTTATGAAAACATGGTATGTGCAGTCAATGATAAATTGACGTTGAAAAGTATTTATGTAACAAAAAGGTATGCCTGAAAAGCGAACATTCTAACTTTGAACACATTGATTTTTAAATGGAATTTCTACATGCAGCTACTTTATCAAGAATCGCACCAGTTTTGCAAATCCCTGCGCATTTTCTCTGTCAACATATCAAACTCCCACCTTCATTGGTACATTCTACTCCGGCATCGTCAGAATGCTGACAGTCAATACTCTTTCCCCATCCGGTATACGAACAGTTGGTCAAACTTGATTCTCTTCCGGTACAACCCACTTCATCCAGCCATATCTGGCCATCACCAGAAGGAGCCATGTACCCACGAAGAGATCTAACAGCATCTAGGTAACCAAGTTGACGACATACAACCTTGGCATCATTTAAATCCCAGCCATCATCACAGATTGTCCCCCATTCTCCATTGTGCAATATTTCAACACGGCCGATTCCACTTTCACTTAATGGTCCTTTCAACCTGACTGACGCAATTTCACCTGCCAAAAAGTCGTGTTAGAGTTTGTAAATTTGGTGGAAGGATGTTTCAATTATACCACAATGATTCCCACATGAAAAAGTTCCTACGTATACCCTTCATTGCAATGGTATTCCCGGAATGTTACGAGCCCATAGGTTTCTCATTTCTTTTAAAATACTTTACCTGTTGTAGTACATTCTACTCCAGCGTCATGGGAATGCCTACATTTATTGTCTCCCCATTTTCCATGAGAACAACCAGTTATATTTTGTTCAGAGCCGGTACAAGCGACGTCAGATAACCATATAGGACCAGAACCGGACGAAACCTGGTATCCACGAAGAGAACTAACAGCGTCAACATAACCAAGCTGCCGACATACAACCCTAGCATCTCTTATATCCCAATGATTATCACAGATTGTCCCCCATTGTCCATTGTGGAAAATTTCTACACGACCGGTGCCACTGTCTTTAAATGGACCTCGTAGTCTCAGATACCCACTGAAAACTGTGAAAACTGAGTATGTAAAAACCTTGCATGATCATGAGTTTGTGAAATCATTAGAAGATTGAAGAAGTTTTTAACCACTGAAGCGTTTCTTCAAAAATTATCTTACCATAAACAACAACTTCGATTGATTTTTCATCTCTTAATTGGTCACTTTGTGCTACACACTTATACGATCCGCTGTCAGATACATCAAGATTGGCGAGAACTAGTGTTTCTTGTTCTGTTCCCGTTTCACCAACCTGTGTTTGGTTTTTATACCACGTTACACTGGCAGCTGGGATTCCTCCTTCACCTCTACATACGCACGTGATGCTATCACCTTGATGTACCGTGATGAGGTTAGAACAATTCACTGTCACCGATGGTTTCTCTGAAAAGCAACGTAACGAATGCATACATACAGTCTGTTCACAAATTTTCATGTCCATTGCAAAGAAATGGAATAACGTTATATTTGTATTAGATTTACCTGCTCTTTTACATTCTATTCCAGCGTCTTCGGAATGAGAACATTTACTAGTCCCCCATTCCGGATGAGAACAACTTGTTATATTTTTCTCTTCTCCTGTACAAGCGACATCACTCAACCATATGCGACCAGAAGCGAAAGGGACCTTGAGTCCTGGGAGTGCTCTAATAGCATCCAAATAACCAAGCTGGCGACATGCAACCCTAGCATCGTTTATATCCCATTTATCATCACAGATTGAGCCCCATTCTCCGTCGTGGAAAACCTCAACACGTCCGGTACCATTTGCACTCAATGGGCCCTGTAACCTGAGCCTTGCTGCTACAGCTGCAAAAGTGTGCGTGTATGAGCCAATGGCCGATGGGATTAATGATGGAATGGTTTGTTAATTAAATATATTGAATACCATGCCGACTTTTACATTTGAAACACAAAGGACGGAAAGAACTAAATTAAGTCTGGCAACGCTATCGTTCATAGCCATGAATGGCATGAGAACAAGGAGGAGGTCAATCTGAGGGTGATGATTCGAATGAGAAAGAGAATGAATAAAAGTAAGAGGATCCTGAGTCAGTAAACAATAACGTTACCTGTTGAAGTGCATTCTACTCCAGCGCTTTCGGAATCCTTGCAGTCGTGCTCTCCCCATCCAAGATGTTGACAATTTGTTATCTTTTGTTCTTTTCCTGTGCAAACGACGTCATCCAGCCAGATAGGTCCTGAACCCGAAGTTACCTGGTGCCCGTGAAGAACAGTGACAGCGTATAAATAACCAAGTTGACGACATACAACCCTGGCATCTTTAATGTCCCAATAGTCATCACAGATTCTTCCCCACTTTCCGTCATGAAATATCTCAACGCGGCCAGTGCCATTTTTACTTAATGGACCTTGTAACCTGATCGACACAGTATTGGCTGCAAAAACAAGTTTTAGGTAAACAAAATTTTTGGCCTTTCGCAATTATTAGGTAATTCTCTTTACTGCATGAACGTTTGGTGGGTAACACTCCTTAATGAAAACAAACGCTTATGCCTTTGTTTACATTTTGAATCGTATATTTCCTAAAATATCAAGAACTTTTAGAATATTTGACACGCTTTTAGGAGCATAATTTATGGTTTTACATGAAGTATTAAAAATTTAGGCATTCTGTTTGGCTTAGCCTATAAAATGTAAACAAATGGGCGGATTAGTCAAAAACGAAATCCCTTCTTGCTGTTCAGAGATATACGATACATGCGAAATTTGGGCAATTTTGAAACAAGTAGACTACTCATTGTTATGAGCAGAAGCGATGCGCAGAAGCGACTGTAACCCCCGTTTAAGTGAGGAGTTACAGTAGCAATGAATGTCGAAGTGAGTGTCCTTTTTTGGCAATGCCTATGCTATAGGGTCACCCGCTATGATCATTCTTTGTACACGTGACGTTCATGTTACTTGCCATGGCCACTGTTACTTACCGATATATAATTAAAGAAAAACTGATATTGAAGTTCGATTACAAATCAATAAGAAGAGTTCACTGCAGCATAATTCACAGAATGTAAATTCCATGCAGTATATATATATATTTGAGTTGTCTCTTTATTAAAAAATATGATATTGTCAAATTCGTTTGCACGGGATAACGATTTGATGATATAATTGAATTTGAAATCTACTTTATTTGCATGCCAAGTATTCTACATAGAAATTCGCGACCGATTTCCCTATAATTCACAACAGTTCAAAGAGATCACAGAGTGGAATTTAACAAACAAAAAAACAGTATAAAAATAGTAAACTACAGTTCACTCTTTAAAAACAACTTTTTACGAAACTACATGCCCATTCAACGCGTGGACCTTTTTTCACTGAAGTAGATATATCTAGCCGAGCAGTAGAAGGTTCAAATTCGTTCATTAAATATGATGAAAATACTCAAACGAATCGATTTCTCATCATGGAAATCAACATGTGATCCTGGGTATCTGTCAAAGTTCATTATAATGGTGCTTTAGATATTTAGATATTTAGATATATCCATATAGGATAGGCCTACAAAATTATCCACTGTCTTACGTCAAGGGGCCATATAAACAAACTCCTATAACTATAATGCATCTTAAAAGTCTTCAAAATTATCATCTCACCTTCACATCGGTACTGCAAGGAATTTAGAGCGAAAATAACGGCAGCAGTGGCGATTGACCATGACATTATTGAATGGTAATCCGTCGAGTAAGCACGCTGTGTGATATTTGGACAATTTTGTATACACAATGGATATTAGCCTCCGCGTCGTAGCTCCTCCTCCATCGAACTGATGGCATAATCTCAAGAGTTGTTCCGGCTCCAGATGCTTCTTAACCTCGCTAAAAATAATTGTTGTGCGATTTGCTGACAAAGCGGATTATCGTCATTGGGTCGTAATTTTGCATTTTTACCGAAAATTAACGTTATTTGCAAAATTTATACTAGGGTGATTTTTCCTCGAGATGCGAACTGTGGCGACATCATTTGAAAATGGACTGTTGTCAGATAAATTCCATATAAACAGTTTCATACGTAAGCGCTGCATCATAAGTTTTTAATTCAGAGTTACGTAAGCGCCTGCGCAGGATTTGACAGCGGATGATGTGAAGCTGTAGCGTCGAGCATCAGGCAACAAACATTAAAGACTGGGCTTTTAAAGGAGGTATTAGTGATGAAAATTTAACGTTTAATTTGAATTTATCGGGAAATTGAAAGAAAAGGAAGGAATCGAAATTGTGTAGAATTTGCCACTTGCACTTGTCCAACTACTGCGGAAATCGAAAGCTATCAATTTCCGCCATCCATCAAAACCTCGTGCATGTATGACTCTTTCACTTTTAGCTAAGTTCATTTCGGGAGAAAATATAAAACGAGGCGAATCTGACATCGCAAATCTCGATATGACACAGCTAGGAAGCGTTCTCCTTCGTCGAACGCAATAAAATCACGTGCTGCATAACTGAATAGCTAGTAACTTATCAGTAAAATAATGAGAAACATCTGCGCTGCCTCCTTGCAATTTTTTTGAAACATTTTGGTTCCGGAATTGGAAAATTAGCAACATAAACAAGCTGTCGTGTATTTAATCTTTTTCACTTGAAAAGGATACTCGTGGACGCATGGTTTAACGGAATTATTTAATCATAAAAATAAGTATTACCTCCTAACGGAAGAAACGAAATATACTGATATTTTGTGGCTAGGCAGTCTAATGGTGAAATTAAGAGACCATGAGCTGCAACGTGAAAGGTCTTATGCCAATGAAACATGCAATACAGCAGTCACCACAACATTTTCACCGACCCGACGAGTATCAAAAAACACATCATTGAAATGTAGTGGAAGTTCTAGGGTGACTAATTTAAAATATAACATTTTGATTTATTCTGCCTATTACGACCTTAATAACAACGCTATTGGCCATGGATTTCTAAAGAATATTTTTCAGTAAAAATCTACCAATGCGTTTACGATTTTGAGCTGTATATATCCTTTATATCCTTTAAAATAGCATGCTACCAATGAAATTTCGAACTGACTTGGTTAAGCATTTTTGCACAATTCAAAGTAAAATGTTGTAAAATGTTCTAACTCAATTAATATCAAAATATACATTCCGATTATTCAGAGAATCAATATGTATTTAAAAGATGCCTTATTACACTGAATAATATATGCATTATAATGGTATAATTTCAATGCTAATTTTCCATATATCGATTTACAGATATTTTTGCCAATCCTTGAAGTTCATTTTACTTTTTTTTATAAAATCAGCGAAGTAAGATCTCAAAACATTGTTACAAACATTTATCTTCCTAATTATATTATAATCAATATATCCACATGCAATCCAACAATCAATTGATCAGCAATTTAGAAGCAAAATCGTTATACCATCGAAATTACACGAAATTATTATTTAAAAAAGCGAAGATGCACTAGTCTCGTAAGGTTAAAACCAACAGTCACAATAAAATGTTTTGTGAAGTCGTTGAAGATCTTGTAATATTTCGATCCGCGGTTTTTGGCGAGAGTTAAGCTATAATTATATAAAAATTAAGATTTAGAAATTAGTTGGAAAACATAAATAACAGAGGCCGGTTGTATAAAACTATTTAATTGCATGCACTTTGCATAGTATAATATTTGCCTGACTGATATTAAACAAAGTTTGTCGAGAACATTCTATTCAGCTAGGATGCTGTGGCATTGGTACACTATTTGATTGGGCAAAAATGTTTTATTAACGGCGGGCATGAATCTACATACAAGACAAGGTTTTACTTCGATTTTTACAAAGTTTTTACAGGCAGAAGAAAAAATTGGTCGGTCTGACTTCGTCACTACGACTCTTATTATATTACTTTAATAATTTTCTCCACAGCTTTACCTGTGGTAAGACATTCTACTCCAGCATCGTCAGAATGCCAGCAATTTTCGTTTCCCAATTAACGTTGAACGCAACTCGTTATATTTGTTTCTTTCCCAGTGCAAGCAACCTGATCCAACCATATATGTCCAGTCCCACGAGTAACTTCGTCCACACGAAGAGATCTGACATCATCTGGATATCCAAGTTGACGACAAACAACCCTGGCGTCATTTACATCCCATGTATCATCACAAATTGTGCCCCATTGTCCATGGTAGAATACTTCGACGCGACCTGTACCATTCTCGCTCAGGGGTCCTTGTAACCTCAGGGATCCATGTTGCGGAGCAGCAACTAAAATAATCAAGGATTTGATGATGTGCCTCAAACATTTAGTAACATTTTTCAAAAGCGATCGGCTAGTAGCAAGGGAAAATGAAACATGTTTTTCTTTGTCAAATCTAGATGCCGCATGGAAATGTTATGAGAAGATTGAGATCTACCGCACAATCACTTTGAGCGTGAGAGAAATTTTTGAACGCCAAAATAAATCTTTTTTCTACTCCCATGAAATCCTCCTCACAATATTTTTAATTGAAATTTTCACTTTAAACTCGGTAATGATAAATTGTGGGAAATGAATTAAAATTTAACGCGTACATTATCAGAATTTAATCTAGAAATTTATGTCTCTTGTCATGATTACCTTTCAGGATCAATTAGCATTTTTAGTACACGTTACCTGAAATACATTCCACCCCAGCAAGACTCGGGCAATGTCCATCTCCGCTACCCCATTCATAATGAGAACAGTCTGTTAAGTTTTGTTCTCTTCCTGTACACGCAACTCCATCTAACCAAATAGGTCCGGAACTTGCAGGCTCCCCTTGAAGATATCTGACAGCATCTGAATAACCAAGTTGACGACATGCCACTCTAGCACTATTTATATTCCAACAAAAATCGCAGATTGTTCCCCATTTTCCAGCGTAGAGTACTTCGACACGACCAATACCATTTGCACTCAATGGACCCCGTAACCTCAGTGGAACAGGCTTACCTATAAGAACTGGGAAGAAACTATATTCCTAAGGGAATTAATGGTCATCAACTAGCAGTGGAGTAAAAATCTTTCAAAGATTCTTGGAGAATTTGGCCTTTCGTAGCCTTACCTGTTTTACTACATTCCACCCCAACGTCGCTGAAGTGCCCGCAGGCACAATGTTTCCATTTTTTATGAGAACAACTTGTTATGTTCTGTTCGTCTCCGTCACATCTGACAAAAGCCAACCAAATACGCCCAACGCCAGAAGGAAACTGCCCAAAATACAGTGCTCTAACAGCATCTGGATAACCAAGTTGATGACATACAACCTTGGCTTCCTTTATACCCCATCCACTACCGCAGATCGTTCCCCATTCTTCATAGAGGGATACTTCAACGCGACCGATTCCATTTTCACTCAAAGGCCCTTGTAACCTCACTGGCCCGTACATGACTGCAAAAAATATTTTAGTGCATAGCAGTCAACTCATTAAGCTCAGGATGGCAGTATCTCAATATTCTATCAGCGGCAATTTTACAAAGTCATATAGAACGAGTCAGTAAGGGACCAAATCTTTTTGGATCGAGAATTACCGAATCTGCAACGGTTAATTAATTTTCGTTTATACAAATTGCGCTGCCTCGTACCTCTTTAGTATTTAGGTTTCTTACAAGGTCTCTTTAGCAGCCCAATAGATTATTAGGCTTAAATGAAGTACCGAATTGAACCTGAAGTGCGAGGCAGCAAATTGCGCATACCTCAGCTGAGAACACCGAGTTAAAAAAGTAAAATCTCTGAGGAGGAAATGACTAATGAGACAACCGATGGTAGCTGCAAATACTTAAAACACAAAACGATTCTCTTCTATCGGATACGCAAGGTTTGTAAATGCATGTGTAGAATTATATGTGATCAAGTACGGACTAGCTGTCAGTTGTTTTCAAACCCTTTTGTAAATTCACCATTTCCACTATGGGGGAAATTAAAGTCCCACAATGCGTTTACATCATGCAAGGCGATTAAGTTTGAACGAATTATGACAAACGTGTGAGTGGCTGCAACGTGTGGTGGGTTGAAGCGCGTTTCCTGGTACCCAGACACCTTTCTTGGCATGTTCATGTGTTTTTCGATAGAGTGCTATACGCTTGTTCACGCAATGCGTGTGCAGAAAAAAGCATGTGTACAGAAAAATTCCAGGCATTCAGATAAAACTACCCTTAAATACTTGGCTCTGGCAAGTCGGTTTGGCAAGTCGCACTAACAGTAGACATTTTGTTTTATTCTATTTTAGTTAGAAAGATCGTGCCGATATGCACCATTACGGATAGCGAGTTATCATATTTCACCGGGCGAATGCATATGCTTTTGAGTTTTTACTAAATGTTATCTTATTTACAAGTTCAGCCTTCGTATGCGGTTTACGGATGCCATCATTTGATAACGGAAAAACATGGTGACGTTTTGAGAATATACTGTGATTTAGCTTTCGTGTTAACACCATGCTGATATAATGTATTGCCGGACTGCCTTTAAAAAAGTTATGTAAGCCAATTTTTAACCCGTATCTTTTCTCAAATAATCACACAAGTGTTACCTCACCGGTAAATAGTTTCGCCGTAATTTTCTACTGTCATTGTAGAAACAAAAAGCTAAGGTGGCACAGATTCATTTCATGCCGTTTTAGAAGGAAGGCAGTTAAAGCTCATGCAGAGAGACAAATTTGCGCAAGACTTACCATTGCTGGCTTCGCACTGACGCGATATCAGGATCAGACCAACCAATATGTAATTGAATGCCATCTTGTTAAAGTTCTCTCCACACCGCCAATATGCAGAAAGTGCACAATGAAAATAACACTTGTTTACCTCTGTGTTTGGTCACAGTCGAAGTCGAATCACGATTGTAAATCATCCAGATTTGGAAAATATACAGGCCAGGTACGAAACAGCTTTTCAACCTTAATCCCTTTGATGCAAGCGCATTTCCGCAATGCTAATTAAAACCATGCATTTGTGTGCATGGAAGTCGAAAAATAGACCTTCGAAAGCTAAATTTTGCATGAATTTGACTTATTGTTGTAAATTTGACTTTGGCGTGGAAATAATGCAAAATAAGGCATTAAAACGAATACGTACAGCAAAATCATCTAGAACCAGAGTAGTTGAGCGTCCAAGTTTCGAATCACAGATTTTGAAACACGCATACATCAAATTGCATAAAACATTGACAGATTGCTGAACGTACATTTTTACCAACTTATGCGGTATCGATTTGAAATGAGTTTTTGAGTATTAGTCTCAGCGCGTAAGTTTAAAAAGTACTTCAAAGGCAATTCAAAATAAGTAACTTTGGACAAAAAAAACTGTGGATCAACCTAACGTGCCCCTATGTTTGCAAATTAAATGAAAACTTATATTTACTACATTCACTGATTTGAATCAGATTTTAATCCGAACATACGTTGATTATAACAGAAAACTAAGTGTAAATAATTAAGCAGCAAATATATATTATTTGGCCCAAAAGATTATAAGTTCCGTGCCGTCGTATATAATGTTCAATCAACTATAAGTATCAGTCCTTTTTAAATTCACTACAATGAACAGAATAATTGTTCAAATTAAATGGACTTATTAAATTCCAAAAGTATCAAGCTAACTCATAAGTTAAAATCACCAGGCACCAACAAAAGATCAATCTGCATGGGAAGTCTTCCAAGATTTCGCAATATTTTGATCCATCCTAAGATGCTAATTAAAAAAAAAGAGATGTGATGTTGTAAAATGTGAAACAATATGACCTGCATTAGTAATATACAAATTTGGTCTATCGCAAGGTGACAATAGCTATTTTTGTACCCGTTTTTTTGCTTGTACTGACAGTACATACAGATACGGTGAAATTCGCCAGGTTTCTGTATTTTGCCAGACACATTTTACCTTTTTCAGACACAGATTGTCTCTGAAAGAGCCAGAACAATATAAAGAAATAATATTTATTGAAATGTGAATGTTTTTCAATATATATTATCAACGTATTATGGCTCTTTTAAAAACAATTTGTTGGCAGTAAACTTCGTATTGCAAATTTTAAGTAAGATAAATCAGCCAATATCATTACCGGTGACAGTGAGAAGATGCAACGACATTTCCTCCTTGCTTGTAGGTTCCAGTTTAACAACTGGTTGTCCATTGATGTGAAGCGCCTCTTCCGTTTCAGCATCGACTGCACTGAGGGAAAACGTGTTTTTTCCCTTGACTACTTCGCTTTTCTGCATTATGCCACCTCTTTTGAGCTCGAAATTATTGAGCTGACCGGACACATCTGTCGTGACGAGTACATCACTATTATATGCATTCACCATCGAAAACACAAGAAAATAGTGTTTTTCAACTACAAAATAACGAAGGATATCGTGATTATGGAATAAATACTAGAGTGAACGGTTGATAGCCTTGTAGGAGTGTAGGACTGTTTCACCGACGCATTTTTTCAATGCGATTAAAGGTTGTTTTCCATCTACGCGTTTTCATATACGCACGTATACGCACGTAAAAGTCTAAATCCTTATACATGTCACCACATGTCACCAGTGAATAAATCGAAGGACTTAGTTTTCTGTATATTTTAGTGTGCATTAGTTGACCTATACATGTTAAATAATAAAAATTTAAAAGCATTTAAAATTTTCCGTACGTGTACGTGCGTATAAAAAACGCGTAAGACAAGCAGCGCTGAACGAATTATGACAAACGTGTGAGAGGCTGCAACGTGTGGCGGGTAGAGGCGCGTTTTCTGATACCCAGACACCTTTCTTCGCATGTTCCTTTCAGACTGAGAGCTATGCGTTTTTCGATAGAGTGCTAGACGCTTGTTATTATTATTATTATTATACATAAAACATACTCCCAATAGGGCTTTTCAGTATGTACTAACAAGGCTAAAAATAGGTATATTTCTATCTACAATTACGTTATTGACTATGCTATGTTTATAAAATATGTTTACAATTAAGAGAAATCCTAGTTGTATAGTTATACTAAGATTTTAATACTTTAACTAAGATAGGTTTCCGTTAACGTTATTTGTTAACATATTTTTCTTTAAGTGCTTCTTAAATGTTTTAAAAGGTAGTTTTTTAAAATCTTTATCTAGAATGTTCCAGATTTTTATTGCTCTATAGCGAAAACTTCTTTGACCTGATGTTGTTTTGCATGGGGGAATGTCAAGGTCGTCTTTATTCCGGGTGTTCTTGTTGTGAACTGCATTTCGTTTTGAAAACTGGTCGCATAAGTACGGCGGTGCAAGTTCGTTCATGCATTTATAAGCCATTAGTGTATCTCTGTACTGTAAATGTTCCTTGACTGGGAGCCAACCGATCGCCTGTAGTACTGGTGTTATGTGGTCGTATTTCCTTGTATTTGTTATAATCCTACAAGCAAAATTTTGTACTTTTTCGAGTTTTTTTATGTTTGTTGCCGATGTATTCGACCACACCGTAGAGCAGTAATACAATCTGCTCATCACTAGGGCATTGACAATCGTGTGGAGGGTTTCGCTATCGAAGCTGTCCTTTACTCTATTTATTTGGTACAGTTTTGCCATTGAAGATGATATGACGTGTCGTATATGATGATCATAACTTAAGAGGAAGGTGTAATCTCTTTTCCTAGGAACGAGATAACCAGTCCTTCAGTAAGGTTTCCGATTAACTGTCGAGTGCCTATTAGCATTAATTTTGTCTTTTCAGGGTTAATTAACAGCTTATTTGTGAAACACCATGTTGCAATCCTCTTAAGATCCTCTTCTATGTTACTTTTTGCATCGATTATATTCGTGATTGGAAAGGACATGAATATTTTCGAATCATCCACAAATGATTCTAACTTAGCTGTTTTTGGTGCTCTTGGAAGGTCGTTTATGTAGATGCAAAATAACAGAGGTGACAATATTGCCCCTTGTGGGACGCCATGAGTGATTGAAAGAGTTTCTGATACTGAAGAGCCAATGCGTACGTATTGCTTTCTGTCTGAAAGGTAGCTTCTAAACCAATTTAGAGCCTTACGAGATACTCCAATATTGCTTAGTTTTTGAAGCAATATTGTGTGGTCGATGCTATCGAAGGCTTTGGACAGATCTAACAGAATAAGGGCAGATAGCTCTTTGTTATCCATTGCGTTCAGGAAAAAATCGTTTACTAATATATTGAGGGTTTCCGTTGAATGGTACTTTCTGTTTCCACTCTGGTGTGCCGTAAGGTGGCCGGTCCGTTTAAAAAACTCGTGAATTGATTTAAGGCCGCTTTCTCACATACCTTCGAGATTACATTGAGCATTGAGAGGGGACGGTTGTTGGAGGCTATTTCGTGATCCCCTTCTTTTAATATTGGTATGATTTCTGCTATTTTCCAGGCTTCTGGAAACGTATTAGTTGTAAATGAACTGTTGATGATATCCGTCAGGGGGCCTAAGATTACTTGGAGGCAGTCTTTAATAGTTCTCATACTGATTTTGTCGGGACCTGGTGATTTATTTGATGGCATAGATGTTAGTATGTTCAATTTCCGCACAGGTAACAGGTATGAAGTGGAATGACTCTTCGATCGGACATTGTAGGTTCTTGATTTCACAGGCAGACATGGAAGATATATTGATGTTATTATCTAAGGCCAGTTGCGTAGCTGTTTCGGCGGCTGTTATCCCTACTGACTGGAAAAAACTGTTAAAATCGTTGGCAACCTCTTCCTGGTTTTTGCTGTATATTGGGGTTGTTTTGTCTCTAGACGGAATGCGGCTATGAATTACTTTCCAAAGTGACCCAGGTTTGTCTTTATGTGTATTAACTTCAGTGCGGACGTAGTCTTTCTCTGCGACTTTTAAGGTGGATTTGATTGATTTTTGGACTGTTTTAAAGTTCTTCCAGTCCTCCATTTCTCGTGTCTGTTTGTATCGACGATGTAGCTGGTCTCTGTAGATCATTTGTTTTTTGATGTCAGCAGTAACAAATGGACAGGATCGACGTCGAATCTTGACCTCTTTAATTGGAGCATGGACAGCCAAAGTAGTAGAGAGGACATCATTAAGTTTTCTGAGTTTTGAATTGACATTGGAATCGAAAAAGATAGAAATGAGTTCTTGTGATCTTGTACCAAGATGGGTAATGAACTTTGAACTATCATAGCTTTTATAGCTTCGCGTCAGGATGCTCTGTACTGATGGCTTAGGAAGTTTCATGTTTAACGCGGTGTATACTGGTAGGTGGTCGCTTATGAGTGTGTCCATAACACCACTTTGATGGACAAGGTTGGGTGATGAAGTTATGATTACGTCGATTAGTGATTCACAAGTGTTTGTGATCCTGGTTGGTGAAGTGATCAATTGCTTTAAGTTCATCTCGTACATGAAGTTTTCCAATGCTGTGGTCTCAGCGGTGACCTTCATGGTGTTGCAATTGAGGTCTCCCAAAATAAATATGGGTTTGTCCTGCATGGCGGCTTGCATATAACTTGCTTTTAGGTTGTTTTCTAGGCAGGACGGCGGGCAGTCTGGTGGTCTATATGATACACAGAGCAGGATAGATCTTAACTTTTTAGTCTGAAGTTTGAGCCAAAGCTGCTGGAAGTAATCGGTGGAAACTGATGATATTTCCTTCAGTACGGTGACCTTAATATCACTCCGAATGTACGCAGCTACCCCTCCTCCTCTTTTGTGAGGCGGTCTTGGCGGTAAATTTTATAGCCCTCCAAGTTGATCTCGGCATTTGGTATGGTTGTGTTTAACCAAGTCTCTGATAATGTTATTGCCTCAATCCTTGTCTTTGAAACAAATTCGGCGAATTGGATCCAATGGGAGGTATTTCGTAGAGACCTTATATTTAAGTGTACCAGACGGAAATGGGGGGAC